CCCCAGCAGGACACCGTCACAGGCTCATAGCCACACTGTCAACCCGCACTGATGCCGTCCATCGTCGAGAAGCGAGAGTCCCATGACGATACGAAGATGCCGTCCTGACACCATGTCCCCAACACCATGGCGACGGGAGAAACGGGCATGAAGACACCAACCGAGATGTCGTCTTCGAGTCCCCCGCAGTCCAACGTTGGAATCATGCCATGGATTGCACCACAACCCGGATAGAGTAGCCGACGAAGCAGAGAGCGGTAGAGAACTGCAACATGGGATGGGACACTACACCATGTATTCAGAGTGGGAATGGCGACACACGGTGCATGTTTACCTACTGACGGGGTCAGGAGCGGGCCAGCGGAGGAATAAACCACGAGCGGAATGGAGTCAATTCAGGTTGTCTCCAAGTTACGGTATGCTCCCTTGCTTCGAATTGCCTCCCCTGGTCAAAGATCAACAACGAACCCTTCTCTCTATCAAAACGGCCGCCTCTGCCACCCATCCCATTCCTTCTTCCCTTCTTCTCCCTTCCCCTCTCCTATACCTCCTCCATCATCCAAAGCAATCCGGCACTACCATTGGGTTTTTTGAACATCACCTCTTCCCGGTTTCTACTCTACAACTTGCGTCGGTCCCTGACAAAACAACGTGGGCAACACCGTTCCTGACATCTTCACGCTACAAGCCTGCATGTGCAGTTGGAGTTAACGCGTGGTTTCACTGCAGCAGACAGAACCCCCAAGTTACACAGGACATTATACGCCATTCAACTTAATTCCCCGCAGCCAGCTACACGGGGAACGCCCAAGCTCGACTGTTATTGTGCCGCCATCATCCCGTCATCCCGCCGTCTAGACATAATCAAAGCAGACCCCCAGAGTCCACACAACTCACACCACATTTAGAAATGTCGCCTCACTGCTGCAACATCATGGATGACTCCTCCTCTGTCTCGTCCAGTGGTTACACCTCCGAGCCCGTGGTCAATGGCGTGAGCAATGGTTACAAGAACTTCTCCAAGAGCCGCCACTTGATGCCCACCCCTTCGGATGAGATCCACGATCTCGTCTGCGTTGGCTTCGGCCCCGCCAGCATTTCTGTCGCCATCGCTACGCACGACGCTATCGAGGCCGGCAAGCTTTCTGAGTCGCCCAAGGTCCTCTTCCTCGAGAAGCAGGCTGACTTCGCCTGGCACGCCGGCATGCTCCTTCCCGGAGCCAAGATGCAGATCTCCTTCATCAAGGACCTCGCCTCCCTCCGCGATCCCCGCTCCCACTTCACCTTCCTCAACTACCTTCACCAGAACGATCGCCTGATCGATTTCATCAACCTCAGCACCTTCACCCCTGCCAGAGTCGAGTTCGAGGACTACCTTCGCTGGTGCGCGCGCCATTTCGATGACGTCGTAAGATATCAGACTGAGGTTGTTGCTGTTGAGCCCGTTCAGTCCTCTGGGCCTAACAAGCTCTTCACTGTTACGTCCCGCAACATTATTACTGGCGAGATCACCACCTTCCAGGCTCGCAACGTCTTGCTTGCTCTCGGCGGCCAGGCTTCCATCCCCAAGCCTCTTCCTCAGAAGCACCCCCGCGTTATCCACTCGAGCCAGTACGCCAGCGTGATTCCCAAGCTCCTCAGCGACCAGTCCGCTCCCGTGCGCGTGGCTGTTCTCGGTGCTGGCCAGTCAGCGGCGGAGATCTTCAACAACGTTCAGAACCTTTACCCCAACTCCAAGACTTATATGATTATGCGCTCCGAGTTCATGAAGCCCTCTGATGATTCGCCCTTGTACGTATCTATCCCCTTCCCTCCGTCTTTCTAGGATGCAACTAACAATCCTCTACTAGTGTCAACTCCATCTTCAACCCCGAATTCATCGACACCATCCACTCCCGCCCCTCCGCCTACCGCTCCCACTTCCTCGCCGACGCCAAGGCCACCAACTACGGCGTTGTCCGCCTCGAGCTCATTGAGCACCTCTACGAGGTCATGTACCACCAGCGCCGCGTGCTCGGCACCGACGAGACGCAATGGCCCCACCGCATCATGGCCGCGCGCAAGATCGTCTCGGTCTCCGAGAAGGGTGATAAGCTCAAGATCCAGGTCGGCCGCTACTTCTACGGCGAGGAGGAGACTGACACCGATGGACCCATCGTGGACGAGGAGACGCTCGATGTCGACGTGATTATCTGCGCTACGGGCTACAAGCGCATGGCGCATGTGGATATGCTCAAGCCCACGTGGCCGCTGTTGCCTGAGGCTGATGAGGCGCTGGTCGCTGAGACTGTTAAGGGGTCTAAGGACAGGTGGTTTGTCGAGGGTGAGGAGAAAAGCTTGAGGGTAATCGAGGCCAATCGCGATTATTCGGTCAAGTTTGGACAGGGCAAGGTTGCACAGGGCAGTGGCATCTGGTTGCAGGGGTGCTGTGAGGGAACTCATGGTGTAAGTTTTCCCCTGATCTGATGACTTGGTATATCTTGGATGGTGATGCTAACGGTGACAACAGTTGTCTGATACCCTTCTTTCGGTTCTGTCTACACGGTCTGGCGAGATCGTCAAGTCGATTTTCGGTGCTTAAATAGGGAGTATGATTATACCATGTTGTGCTTCAGTTGTGTCACAGCGAGAGCGGTTTTCTTTTTATATGATTGTCTGAATCTGGAACGGAAAAATACCTGGGGGGTTTCATTTGGGGTTTTGGAAGGAAAATTTCCTCATGTCACTTTACTTCTGTTGTACATAATTTGTGTTGCTTTTTGGTCATGGTTTTTGGCATAGCTTTGCTTGTCTGGTTTTGCAATTCAAGCAAAATATCATTGGCATACTTTTTGAATACCCACCTTCGATCTTCTGTCTTGCACATGTTTTCACTGGCAGGGATATCATATCACAATGGGAGCTGGCGGCGGTGTTTCAACACTCGCGCGATTTTCACGTGAGCGCGATTTATCAGATCATCAGATGGAAAATTGCGGGAATTGGGAAGGGGGGTCTAACTGATGGCCGATGATCGGATCAGATAAAAATTCTCGACACCGGGGGGTTATGAAACCCCCCCTTGTCTAGGGCCTTGGCATCAGATAATTTTTGAGCCGAACGTAACCCGAATGACACGAGGGCGGAGGGACGGTGGATCTGATAAACACGCGGACGAAAACTAACGGCGTCAACACGAATTCAAGATGGACGGTGAGTGGTGGCAGGTGTAGAAAGATTCAAAACGGAGGCCATGATGGTTGCAGTGGAAGCGGATGCCGGCGGCGGGGGACGTGGGGCCGTGGGGGATCCACTTCACCGGTGCCCACCATCACCAACCCCGGCCGTGCTGTCGTTAATGACGCAAACGACAACGAGGGGCGTCCACCGATGAACAGTTAAGGCCATCCAACAGCATCTTTCGAAACGTGTGTGATGTACTCAAGACAAGGCGTTTGAGTTTCTATTCGGCTCCCAACACATGGCAGTTGGGATGATGATAGTGTTCAAACCAGTGTTGCAAATCGAGATGTTCAAGCAAGAGTGGTACGTAAGCTAGTGGATCGATCAACATGTAATGGGCTAAAAAAAGTCAGGCAGGTACAATTCCTGGCATTTAACGTCGTGGACAAGTGGAAAAGACAAAAAACACGTATGAAAAAGCAAAAGCAACGGGGAAAGGACATACGAGCCATTGCCGTGTAGTGAGAAATAAGACGGGCAATCGCACAGCACAGTGGAGGAAACACCCAACGGCGGCTATCGATACGCCTCCACTGTAACCTCAGGTCATAACCTCGTCAGGTCATTACACCATTCTCGGATTTTAGTCTCGATGAAGAAACAGCCGTACTGTCACCGGCGGCCGGTGTGATTGACAAGTTGAAGAGTTTGCATATCGATCTTGAAGTTGAATATGATGGGTATGAAGTATCTGACAACGGGTATTGTTGTGACTGAGAACTGGGACGATAGTGCGCTTCCATTCTCGTCCGAGGCCGCTACCAACAAAGAAGTATCTACATTTTCAGTTTGTTTTCCATTGCGACATCGTCTGCATGTGATAACTTCCAAGACCGGCATTACGGAAAGAAAGGGTAGCGGTACCTTGCATATATCCACCGGGCCCGGAACCGGAGGAAACACGGGACAACAGCCGAGAGCACGGAAGGAACGTATGCCGTTGTGTTTCGAAGAGGAAGACGCAATTTCCGGCACCTGCCAAACCATCGGCAAACAAGGGAGGACAGTTGCATCGCAACTTCCCAAGTTTCGAGCGATCCATCGCAGCTCCACTGAGATTTCTTGTCGAGCTTGTCGCAAAGGATGCCAAACATGATCCAACATCACGTCGTCTTCTTCTTTCAACAAACATCGTGACTCCGACGTCGTCCACCACAGACACCGCTGATCTGCGACCTCCAACCGCTTGGCATTCCGGGATAGATGGTCCATCATAAACTCCCAATCCCAAGAAAAAAAGAAGCTTTCATGTTCAGTGGTACAACCACCACACTTCACCTCAACTGCAACGTTGAACCTCTTCACGTCGTCGGCCACTGACCAATGATTCTGCACAAAATCAAATCACCAAACATCAACTGGCAACGACACTCCCTTGGTTTCCAATCACGGCCAATCACTAATGCCAGACATCGTGAGTATCCCTCTGTTGTGTCCATTCGATATCTCATGTTTAACACATGGCCGCCCTCGGCAAGTAGCGAATGAGATTAACGCCCTGGGACCTCGAGCTGACGTTTTGGGCATATCAGTCTGCATATCATTAACAGCGACAGCAACTGGAGTTACTCGGGACGCCTGATTGCTCATTGGACAGTCTCACCGGATCATATCACTTACAGCAGCCTCCCGTCCCGGTGTCCCACTACACCCGCTGCGCAACCGCTACAAACGGCCATTATCCGGCGCAATAATAGCAGTTCATCGTGCTGAAGAGCTTCATTGGCAGGCCATATCAACAACAAAAGGCTTAAAGAGGCCATCACCACCAACCAACAATGGCAACTATCGACCCAGACCCAGACGTTGCCCTCTCCATCGCCAACCACCCAGCAACGAGACTCCCAGGTCCCAGTCTCCTTCATCACCTCGTACAACACCGCTCCGAAACAAGAGACGATGATGCACTCGCCATTGACTACCTCGCCCCTGATGGCTCGCGAGTCTCACTGTCATATCATGAGCTGCATCGAAGATCCGACGCCTTGGCGGCTAGGATATCGTCTCTCGCCGGGCCGGTAACTGACAACAACATTCAACTCATTGTTCCGGTACTCATCCCCCAATGCCCAGATTTGTACATTGCCCAACTGGCCATCCTCAAAGCAGGAGGAGCTTTCTGCCCGCTTAACCTGGATATTCCCCTGGAGAGAGCAAAGTTCATCTTGAATGAAGTCTCAGCTGCGCTCGTCATCACCACCCCGGAGCTGGCGGAGAGGGTATCTGAGGATGAGACGGGCAAGAGGGTTCTCATACTCACCGATGAGGTCTTCACATCGACAGAGACAGTCGAACACAGGCAACCAACACCAACCAATTTAGCCTACGTCATGTACACCTCCGGCTCAACAGGAACTCCCAAAGGCGTGCCCATCACCCACGATTCTGCCACTCAGTCTTTGCTAGCACATGATCGACACATCCCTGAGTTCTCGCGGTTCCTCCAGTTTGCCGCACCAACCTTTGACGTCTCCGTCTTTGAGATTTTCTTCCCGCTGTTCAGGGGAAAGACACTCGTGAGCTGTAACAGATCGGCCATGCTCAATGACTTGCCTGGGGTTATCAATGAGTTGGAAGTGGACGCTTGCGAGCTTACGCCATCGGTCGCTGGAAGTTTGTTGCGCAAGAGAGAGAACGCACCCGGTGTGAAGTTGCTCCTGACCATCGGTGAGATGCTTACGGAGCCTGTCGTTCGCGAATTCGGTGGCGATGGTACCAAGGAGAGTATCCTCTGGGGCATGTACGGCCCAACCGAAGCAGCTATCCACTGCACCGTCCAACCCGCATTTGCTGCGGACTCTGTCCCCGGCCTAATCGGCTTCTCCTTCGATACTGTCTCCTCTTTCATCCTGGCTATGCCAGAGGAGGGAGACGACGCCTCAGAGATTAAGGTTGTCCCCCTCGGCGAAGTTGGTGAACTCGCCATCGGCGGCCATCAACTAGCTCCCTGCTACCTAAACCGCCCAGAAGTCACAGCTGAAGCTTTCGTCTACCACCCCGTCTACGGTCTGCTCTACCGCACAAAGGACAAGGCGCGCATGCTCCCAGATGGCACAATGCAATGTATGGGTAGAATTGGCGACGGCCAAGTCAAACTCCGCGGTCAGCGCATAGAGCTAGGAGAAATCGAACATGCCGCTTTGCGTACTCCGGGGTGCCACTCCGCTTTTGCAGCGGTGATCAAGGGAATCCTGGTCCTCTTTTGCGCTGTCGACTCTGTCGATTCCATGCCCACCAAGATTGAAGACTTGTGCAAAGCCTGGCTGCCGGGATTCATGGTCCCCGGTGACATTATCGTCATGAAGGAATTCCCTCGCTTGGCGTCAGGAAAGGTGGACAGAAAGGGACTGGTGGCGGAGTACGAAGCCATCCAAGCTAGTGGGCCGCCAAAAGAGGAAGAGTGCAGGGATGAGAAGGAGAAGCAGATCCATGTGTTGGTGCAAAATATCCTGGGAGTTGTCGTGCACCCGACCCAGAGTTTGATGCATGCGGGCATGGACTCGTTGAGTATTATCAAGCTCGCGAGCGCGTTGAGAAAGACGACTGGCGTGCAAATTGGGGCGAATGAGATCCTGGGGGTTCGAACAATAAGAGCTCTAAGGGAAGTTATTAAGGATCTTGAGGCTGAGGGCACCAATGATGAGGAGAACCAGGGAGAGGAGATGAGGACGTTTCAGCCGGCTGAAATTGCGGTCAACAACGACTTGCTGAAGGGACGGATTGAGGGTATTGAGGCTGTACTGCCTTGTACGCCGCTCCAGACTGCGATGTTATCCGAGACGACGGCCAACCCGAGGGCATACTGCAATTGGTTGAAGCTCAAGTTTCCGGAGGGCTGCATGGAGATGGATGTCCGGTCGTGGTTTCTTCAGCTGGCGCAGTCAAACGAGGCCCTAAGGACTGGGTTCGTTCACCATGGCGGCCAATTCCTGCAGGTCATCTTCACCTCCTTTGACGACTCCCTGATCTCGGTGGCCGACAACATTTCCGAGGAGTTCTCCTTCTTCGGCGATGACGACTTCCTCCGCCCCTTCCGCATCTTCCTCTCCCCTCCCTCAGCCACATCACCTATCACAGCCGTCCTCCAGATCCATCATGCCATCTACGATGGCTGGTCAACAGACCTCCTCCTCTCCGACCTCCACTCCTTTATCAACGATTCCACTCCTAATTCCCGTCCCTCATTCCGCGCCGTCGCAACCTACTGCCACTCCGCCCCTTACCGCCGCTCTTGCAACTTAGCCCGCGAATTCTGGGCTCAACACCTCGCCGATTTCCAACCTCCTTCAACCCCGGAACTGCGACCCGACATCGCTCTCTCTTCCACTGTGCAGTCCCACTCCGTCCATCTTCCGTCTCTTTCTCCCCAGCACGTCAAGTCCGTCCTTCGCGAACTGGATTGTACCCCACAAGTCCTCTTCCAAGCTGCTTTGTCTTGGCTATGGAGCGTTTACGTCGGAAGTCAAGACGTGGTCATCGGCACTGTAACATCGGGAAGAACGATTCCAGTGCCGGGTATTGAGGAGATCGTCGGACCGTGCATTGCTACGGTGCCGCTGAGGACGGATTTGGGAGGTGTAAGGACGGTGAGAGATCTGTTGGGGAGTGTGCAGGCGGTGGGTAGGGAGGTGGGTAGGCACAGCGTGTTGCCACTGAAGGATATTAAGAGGGTTGCGGGGATCAAGGCCGGGCAGAGTCCGTTTGAGGTGCTTTTTGTCTACCAGGAGACACTCGACAACCTGACTGGGGATGCGGATAAGGGCGAGAAGGGGAAGGTTGTGGAGCTGGAACAAGGACGGGACTGGCTCGAGACGAAACTTCTCGTTGAAGTCGAGCCCCAACAGGATCGGTACGACCTGGCGCTCACATATCACACTGATGCATTTACGGAGGCACAGATCGCCGTCATGGGGGAACAATTGAGTGTTCTTGTTGAGGCTATGCTCAACAGTTTGGACGCGGAAGTATCATCGCTTAAGAATGTCTTCCCAAAGAGCCTGTTGTCGATCTACAACGAACAGCCAAAGATGCTTGAAGGCGTGCCAGATTTGGCGAAGGCCGTCGAGTCGGCTGTTGAGAGGAACCCGGATCAGGAGGCACTTTGCTTCGCGGAGACGATTGCGGAAGATGGCACCGTGGAAGCGAAGAGTGTGAGCTATCGGGAGTTGAATGCAACGGCCAACAAAATTGCCTGGCTGTTGAAAAGTCAAGGCGTGGAGGAGGGAGATATCGTGGCCATTGTCATGGAGAAGTCGGTGCTTCTTTATGCGGGGATATTGGCAATCCTCAAGGCTGGATGTGCGTATCTGCCGCTGTTATCCAGTACGCCGGTGGAAAGGATTAAGACAGTTTTTGGCCAGGCGGGTGTTCAGTTTTGTCTCACTGATACTTTATCCAAGATGAAGCTCGCACAAGTCACGGGTGTCGAGTCCCTGGATCTTGGGACGACCGATTTCGAGGGGCTTTCCAATGAGAACCTCAACATCCCAGCCGACACCTCCCGCGTCGCCTACATCATCTACACCTCCGGCTCTACCGGCGTCCCCAAGGGTGTTTGCGTTACCCAACTCAACATGGTCAGCAATCTCGACGTCTTATCTCGCATTTACCCATCTATCCCCGGCAAATCCCGCCTCCTTCAGTCCTGCTCCCAGGCCTTTGACGTCTCAGTCTTTGAGATCTTCTTTGCCTGGACCCAATCATTGACCCTCTGCTCTGGCACCAACGACACTCTCTTTGACGACCTCGAACGCTCCATCCGTTCACTCGGTATCACTCACCTCTCCATGACGCCTACCGTTGCCTCCCTTGTTTCCCCTGAACATGTCCCCAACGTGGAATTTCTGGTGACAGCAGGCGAACCTATGACTCCCGCGGTTGCAAGCAAATGGCACAAGCAGTTATGGCAGGGGTACGGACCGTCAGAGACGACAAATATCTGCTCCGTCAAGCGCATGGTTGTCCCTCCCCGTCACAGCCGTCACAGGATCCGACATTTGGGTTTCACCTTCCCCAATACCAGCGCGTTCGTGGTGTACCCCGGCACTGACTCCGATAAGCTCGAGCTGGTTGCCGTGGGTGGATTCGGCGAGCTTTGTTTCGGTGGAGATCAGGTCGTTAAGGGTTATCTGGGGCAGGATGAACTGACGAGCGAAAGGTTCGTGGTGCACGAGGAGTGGGGGAGGGTGTATAGGTCGGGTGATCTGGGTAGGATGCTGGCCGATGGTAGTTTGGTGATCTGGGGAAGGGCGGATGAGCAGGTTAAGGTCAGGGGACAGAGGGTTGAGTTGGGTGAGGTTAATGCTGCTGTGCAGGCGGCGGCCCAGATAGGTGCTGGACATATGTCTGGAGGTAAGTCGGTGGAGAAAGCGGATGGGGTGGAAGAAAAGGGGGTCGTAGGAAGGAGCGGGAAGAGGGATGGCAACGGGGTCGAGTGCGCGACGCTGTTCCTCAGGTCGAAGAAAGGAGCGGCTTCTACTGGCTCAGAGCAAGGGCAAATCGTCAGCTTCTTCGTCCCCGGTACCAATGGCCGCGAAACAGCATTTCAGATCCTCGAACTCGACGATATCCTCAAACGCGAAGTTCGCTCCATCTTCCAATCCGTCGAGGCACGAGTACCAAGCTATATGATCCCCTCGTTCATTATCCCCCTCTCCAAGCTGCCCGTCACAGCATCTGGCAAACTCGACCGCCGCCTCCTCGAAGAGAGCTTCACCTCCTTAACCCACGAGTACCTCGCTTCCGTTAGCCCTTCCATTGGCTCCAGCGACAGCGATGATGACAGCGGGGAGTGGTCAGAAACCGAGAGCAAAGTCGCAGAAATTGTTTGCCGCATCTTTGCGGTTAACAGGAGCAGTGTGCAGAGATGGACGCCCCTCACGGCTTTCGGATTGGATTCCATTTCTGCTATCGAGCTCTCCAAGCAGCTTTCATCATACCTCGGCGGCAAGCGCCTCGCAATCTCAGCGATCCTCCGAAATGCTGCCGTTGCGAGAATCGCGTTGGCGTTGTCCGAGTCGCTCTCTTCCGATTCCTCGGCAGCGGCACCAGCAGAAGAGGATGCGGATGCGGATGCGACGAATGAGAAAGTCCTGGAGCCGTTGGTGCCAGAAGAGCTTGCCCAAGCTATTAATGAGCAGTTCAAGGAGAAGGGAAAGAAGGTAGAAAAGGTGTTGCCTTGTACACCGCTGCAGGAGGGCATGCTTGCTGCTTCTGTTGGAAGAGGGCGCGGGGCGTATGTGAACAAGATGCTGCTGAAGCTCGGAGCTACTTGCGATGTGGAAAGCTTGACAACGTCGTGGGCCAAGGCTTGTCGGAGGCAGGGGATTCTGAGGACGGCTTTTGTATCCACTGAGGATTCGGAGCGGCCAATGATCCAGGTCGTATTGGAAAGTGGGAGTTGGGAGGTTCCATGGTTGGAGTTTGGTGTTTCTTCAACCGACGATGTGCATGAAGTCATCGAGAAGCATGTTTCAACTCTCTCAGAGCCGGTCGACACTTTTGAACCGCCTATCTCGCTTGCTATCATCAACAGTGGAGACGACAGGTTCCTGTCATTCATATGCCACCATGCTCTCTACGACGGAGTAGCCATCCAGCGCTTGCTCTACGAAGTCGAACAACTTCTTGCCGGCAATGATCTCCCGCCCCCGCCGAAATACGAGCCGTTCCTACGCGAGAGTCTGGCACTTGCATGGGCACCGGAGACGGAGACGTTCTGGAGGGAGCAGCTCGCAGAACTGCGTCTTCGTCTACTAACCAGATCGTTCCACTTCTCCTCTTCCAGCTCAGCTGAATTGCCAGCGCCGGCTTTACTGACAAACCCCATCCCCACTCCCCTCAGTCAGATTCTCAGCAAGACCAAGCATTCAGGCGTCTCACTTCTCTCCCTTGTCCAAGCCTCGTGGGCCACCGTCTTGTCTGTGCTACTGAGGACGGAAGATGTATGCTTCGGCAATGTACTCAGCGGCCGGACCCTGCCAATTGAGGGAATCGATGAGCTCGTGGCGCCTTGCTTCAACACGGTCCCGGTGAGGATGAGGTTGGATGACCTCCAGGAAGGCAGGAATCTTGATCTGGTCAAGGCTTTTGGGCAACTGGGGGCTAGAATCCTCGAGGGCCCCGGGTTTGCTTCTTTGCGGAAGGTACAAGGACTTGTCCAAGCCCAAGAGAAGCTTTTTGATACTCTTCTGTTGCTGCAACAAGGCGGAGGATATGGGGAAAAGGAGAACAACGTGTGGGAAGTGGTGAGGGATGAGGGTGGTATGGATGTGAGTTGTCCTTTGCCAAATGACTTATTGGTGATGGTGATGAAGGGATGATAGATGGTAGGATTTGCGCTGACAGATAACTAACGCAGGTCCCGATCGTGGTTGAGTTCGTGCCTGATGCGAAGAAGGATGAGTTGCTGGTGAATTTGTATCTGGAGGGGTAAGTCATCTCAAAATTCGTATCCCAACCGGTGGAAAAGGCGTGCTGAAACTCAAACAGTGGACACTTCTCTAAGGAGTTCGCCAACCTGGTTCTCGATCTCCTCTTTACCACCCTCGAAAACTTTCTGCAGTACCCAGCCTCGCACATCTGGCGATTCGATACCCTTCCCGCAAGCCTGAAAGACAAGCTCACACAGCTGCCTTTCGATGATACCGGAGCATCAACCTCGTCGGCCCCTCATGTCCAAGAAAACGACGCAAAGGAAGAAGAGTGCTCCGATCTTGAGTCCCGTATCCGCAATGTCCTTATCTCGCTCATGACCAACAAGGACCGTCGCATTGGAAGACAGACGACCATCTACCAAGTCGGTCTAGACAGTATCTCTGCCGTGCAAATCGCTTCGATGCTGCGGAAGGAACTAGGTTCTGAAGGTATGAAGGTCAACGCCAGCGATGTCATTGCGCATCCTAGCTGTGCTGGGTTGGCTGCCTTTCTTGGGGGCCAGAAGGGTAACAGCAAGGCTGCTGATACCGAGCCAAAGACCGTCACGTATGACACCGCAAAATTCGGGGAAGAGGTCCAGTCCCAGCTTGAACTGCAGCTTGCGTCCCAAAGAGTTCAACTCAAGAACGTGGAGAAGGTTCTGCCTTGTACCCCGTTGCAGTCAGGAATGTGGATGCAGTTCGTGCGGTCTGCCCAGAGCGGAGGGAGGGATTACCTCAACTTTCTGGAGTACCGGGTCGACAAGAGTGCCGGCATTAAGCTGCAAGACTTGGAGAAGGCGTGGGAGATGCTCTTCCAGGGGCAACCCATCCTCCACACTGGCGTTATGGCCGTTGAGCATGACGACTGCGCTTTTGCTATGGTTCAATACCAGCCTGACGCCGTCAGCAAGCCGGTGATTGCGATCAAGGGTCAGCCCTTTGATGTTGAGAAGTGGCGGGGTGATCTCGCTGGCGGCATCCTGAGCGGACAGCAGCCCGTGCCGTGTGGTGTTGCTCTTATCGAGGACGATGATGGGTTGACGATGCACGTCGGCATGCATCACGTCCTCTACGACGCCCATTCTCTGCAAGTCCTCATAGCGGAACTGAGAAAAGCCATTTCTGGCCAATCCTTGATCCCGCTGGCGCCGACTGAAACTGAAGTCGCCGTGGCCGATATCCTGACGCAGATCGAGACTTCTAGAGAGACGGCGGAGGAGTTCTGGAAGGGGCAGGCCGAAAAGACTGTCATCAACAGTTTCCCTGTGATGACGCCCTTGAAGGAGCCGATGAGGAAGATCCAGATTGAAGCGCTGCAAGGGGGCCTATCATTGTCGGAGCTGGAGAAAGCCGCGGCGGAGTCGGGGTATAGCATGCAAGTGCTCATCCAGGCTTCCTGGGCCCGGGTGCTGTCGGCATACTTGGGAGAAGCGTCGGTGACGTTTGGTGTGGTTCTTTCTGGAAGGAACACGGAAGCGACGAGGGATGCAGTCTTCCCGTGCATTACCACGTTGCCGGTCATCGCTGCTAACACCACGAGCAACGAAGAGTTGCTACAGGGAATGATGAAGTACAATGCCGAGCTGTACAAGCAGCAACATCAGCCGTTGGCGAAGATTCAGCAGTGGCTTGGAAGGCCGGACACGGGACTATTTGATACGTTGGTCGTTTATCAGAAGTTTTCATCGAACATCTCCATGGCTGGACAGCAAGCGCCATGGAGCCTGGTCGAGGATGCTGCGACGATCGACTACCCCGTCTCCATCGAAGTCGAGCCTCAACCCAACGGAGAGGTGAAGTACGCCGTCACTTTCTTCGACGACGTCCTCCCTCGTGAGCAAGCTCAGCTTGTGTTGAAGCAGTTCCAAGCGATGGTGGAGTACCTCGCTTTTCACCCCTCTGCCGACGAGGATGAACTCTTGGAGCTGCGGCCGGAGCTGTTCGCTATCCTTCCTCCGGAAGAGCCCGTTTTACCAGTACCGGACAACATCAAGTTCCTCCATCAGTTTGTCGAAGTTCAGGCTCTCAAGACTCCAGAAAAGACGGCCCTGTTCTTTGCTGATGGATTTGACCCCCGTGGAAACCCCTTGGGGAGGGAGTGGAGCTACCGCGAGCTGGATGCCAACGGAAATAGGGCTGCACACATGTTGTCGGAACATGTCAAGGTGGGAGATATAGTGGCGGTGTACTTTGACAAGTGCCCTGAGGCGTTCTTTGCTATCTTGGGTGTCCTGAAGGCGGGATGCTCGTTTGTAGCACTGGATCCTGGAGCGCCGGAGGCAAGGAAGGAGTTCATTGTCAAAGACTCAGGGGCTACCGCGTTGCTGACCACGGTTGGAAAGGCCGAAAAGATGGACTTCGTAGTGGAAGTGCCTGTGTTGGGCGTTGATCTCGAGGCTTTGGAGGGATTGTCAGCCGACCCTCCGGTCCTCGATCGGGAGCTCCTCCCATCTGATGCGGCATACTGTCTCTACACCTCCGGCACAACCGGCACCCCCAAAGGTTGCGAGATTACACACGACAACACAGTCCAATGCATGCTCGCCTTCCAGCACATCTTCACTGGCCACTGGGAAGACACATCCCGCTGGCTCCAGTTCGCCTCCCTGCACTTCGACGTCTCGGTTCTCGAACAATACTGGTCCTGGTCCGTGGGTATTACCCTCGTCGGCGCTCCTAAGGACCTGATTCTCGAAGATCTCGCGGGGACCATCTCCCGATTGGAGATTACGCACATCGACCTCACTCCTTCTCTGGCTAGGTTGTTGCACCCCGATGATGTCCCGTCCTTGTGTCGTGGCGTGTTCATCACTGGCGGAGAGTCCCTGAAGCAAGAGATTCTGGATGTGTGGGGTGACAAGGCGGTTATTTATAACTTCTACGGTCCGACGGAGGCGACGATTGGCGTGACGGTGTACCCGAGAGTTCCCAGGAACGGGAGGGCGAGCAATATTGGGCGGCAGTTTATCAATGTGGGTTCGTACGTCCTCAAGCCAGGAACGGATAGGCCTGTTCTTCGCGGCGCTGTTGGCGAGTTGTGCGTCTCCGGCAAGCTGGTTGGTAAAGGGTATTTAGGGAGGGAAGATTTGACCAAGGAGAGATTTCCTACTTTGCGGGTACTTGGCCAAGAGGAGAAGGTGTACCGCACTGGTGACCTGGTCCGAGTTTTGCATGATAATTGCTTCGACTTTTTGGGTAGAGCGGATGATCAGGTGAAGCTTAGAGGGCAGAGGTTGGAGATCGGAGAGATTAGTCATTCGATCAAGGTGGGTGTGGAGGAGGTGCAGGATGTGGCAACGGTGGTGATTCGCAACGAAAAGGCCGGAAAGGATTTCTTGGTTGCTTTCGTGACGACTGCCATCAGAAAGAAGGGGGTGGAGCAGCAGAAGCTGGAGGTGATCAAAGACGGAAATGACACAGTTGAGCTGGTACACAAGGTCAGACAAGCCTGTCGCGCAAAGCTCCCCGGGTACATGGTTCCGACATACGTCGTCCGTCTGCCGTACATGCCACTCAGCGCCAACAACAAAGCAGAGATCAAAGAGTTGAAACGTCTCTTCTCCTCACTGACCCAGGAAGAGCTGGCCAGCTTCTCCCCCTCTGCCTCCGGCGCCTCCGGTAGCTTGACTCCAACCGGCCAGAAAGTCGCCGCCGTCGTCGCCAAGATGCTCTCTATCTCTCCTGACATCATCGCCCCCTCCACTTCTATCTTCGAACTAGGCCTCGACTCCATTTCCGCCCTCCGCTTTAGCCGGGCGCTCAAGCGATCCGGTTTTGCTCAAGCTTCTCCGTCACTGATCCTCAGCCACCCGCTCATTGCCGACTTGTCACGTGCCTTGGACTCAGGCAAAGCGCAGTCTAACACCGCCCAAGTTGCCGCGGCAAAACAGCTCGTGCAAGCATCCCAGCATCGCCACTTGGCAAACGTGTGCAAAGAGCTGGACGTGAAGAGAGAGGAGGTGGAGTATGTGGCGCCTTGTACGGGGTTGCAAGCCGGTATGATTGCCAGGAGGGAGAAGTATTATAATACCTTCCGGTTCAAGGTGGCGGAGGGTGTGGATGTGGAGAGGTTGGAGAGTGCATGGGATGAGGTGGTGGAGGAGTACCCGATTCTGAGGACCAAGTTCGTGCAGACAACCGAGGGATTTGTCCAGGTTGCTGTCAAGCCTGGAGCAACGGATTCAAGGCTGGCTTGGAAGCGGTTGAAGGTTGAGGAAGAGGCTGAGGTGGAAGAGACGGTGAAGGAGACGAGAAGGGAGTGGCTGCGGGACAATGCCGAGGGGGTCATCAAACGCACGATGGAACTCCAGCTGTTTAATACTCGCAAGCCCGATTTGGTGGAAGAGAGGCTTTTGGTGTTGCACATCTTCCACGGCATCTACGACGCCAACAGCTTGGAGCTGATCCTCAAGAAGGTGGCCTCTGCATATCGTGGCGAGGCCGGTCAGATTGAGAAGGAACCATCCTTCCTCAAAGCCCTCTACCATGGACCCCTTCAATCTTTCTCCCACTCCAAAACCTTCTGGCTTTCACATCTCAGGAGCGCCACACCCGAGCCGACCTTCGCCGTCACCGAAAGCGCCAGCACAAAAGCCCTCAGTTCCCACAGAACTACCCCTTTCACTCTCCAGAATTTGACCAAAACTCTAGGAGTAACCACTCACTCCCTCCTCCAAGCTGCTTGGGTCGCCGTTTTAGCCAAACAGCTCGGTGTCAGAAACCCAACGATCGGAGTGATTGTTTCGGGACGTGCTATCAAGCTTGAGGGTGCCGAGCGCGTCGTTGGCCCGCTTTTCAACACGCTGCCGTTCCATGCTTCGGTCGGCAATGGGGAAGGAGGAGTGAAGTACAAGGAGCTGGTGAAGATTTGCCATGACTGGAATTCAAAGGTGGTGGAATGGCAGCATGTACCGCTGAGAAAAATCCAGAAGTGGTCTGGAAAGGCCGGGAAGGGGCTGTTTGAGGTGTTGTTTTCGTTCCAACAGGAGCAGTCTTCAAAGCCCCAGAAAGTGGAAGTGGCAGGTATAATTAAGGGGGAGGAGTTGTGGACAGTCATGGACGAGGAGGTCGATATGCAGGCTGATTATCCGCTGGCGCTTGAGGCGACTTTGACGAGTGATGGGGAGGTGAGGTTGTTGATTGTTGCACAGGAGGCGGTGGTTGGTAAGGAGGTGGTGGAGGGGTTGATGGAGGGCTTGGTGGAGGTTTTGAGTGAGATAGGGGAGGATCCGGAGGGTTTGATTATGGGTGGTGATGGGGCTAACTCAGTCATGGAGCAGCAAGAACCTAAAGAGGTGGCTGACAACGTGGAGGACATCAAGGAGAGGAGGGGAAACTCCGGGTTTGTCTGGACTGAGGCGACCAAGATAATTCGCGAACAGATTGGGACTCTGGCGGAGGTGGCTGTTGACACGGTCACCGAGACGACGTCAATCCTGGAGCTTGGTCTGGACAGTATCGACACTATCAAGCTTTCTGCGCGGTTGAGACAGCTGGGTGTCAGCATCAAGCCAAGCGAGTTGATGAAGGGACAGACGATTGAGGGATTGCTTCCTTACTTGAAGGAACAAACGCTCGCGAATGGCGCGCAAGCGAACGGCGACCAATTACTAGGGAAGGTCTCCCCTAGCCCATGGGAGAAATTCGTTGACAAGATTCGCGGGGAACAAGATGAGGAAGATGTCGAAGCAATCTTCCCCGCCACTCCTCTCCAAGATGGCATGGTCGCCGAGATGATCCACTCAGACTTCCAGCTGTACTTCAACCACGACATCATGGAGGTTGAGCCGCACATCGACCTGGGCAAGCTCAAGATTGCGTGGCAAACCGTGATCGCCGACTCCCCGATCTTGCGGACGTCCTTCTTCATGGTGGATGATCCCATGTTGGAGTGGGCTTATTTGCAGGTTGTCCACCGTCAACTTCCCAAAGAGGCCATCAGTGAGATGGAAGTTGAAAGCGAGGAAGGTCTATTCATCATCGCCGAATCCGCTACCGCCCGCGCTCGGAAAGCTGATGGAAAGTCCGACCTTCTGCAACTGATGTTTGCGACACTGGGTGACAGGAGATTTGTAGTTCTTTCAATCGCCCACGCCCTCTATGACGGGTGGTCCCTCTCCCTCCTCCACCAAGATGTTCAAGCCGCTTACGAGGGCCGGTACACACCCCGCCCATCGTACGAAGCATACCTGAAGGACATCATCCGCTCAGGCGATGACCGATCGACCTCTTTCTGGTCTGGATACCTGGCGGGCGCGAAACCAACGTTTTACCCCAAGCTTTCCCCTGATCAGTCCTCAGTCGTCTACCGGCACGAAACCGTCTCCCAGCTCGACTTCTCCAAGATCAAGTCTTTCACCAAGCAGCACGCCATAACTCTTCAAACACTTGGCCAAGCCTGTCATGCCGCCGTCTTAGCAACCGCCACGCGCAGCCTAGACGTCATGTTCGGTGTCGTTCTCTCCGGCCGCGCCGCCTCAGAGGAAGCTGAACAGCTCATGTTCCCTACCATGAACACGGTGGCAGTCAGAAGCGTGCTGCATGGAGATGTAGGAGGGTGGTTGCGGTACATGCAAAGTGTTGCGAACGATATCGGTGGGAGGGAACATTTCCCTCTCAGAAAGATGCAGCGGTTGGTGGAAGGGGGTGGACAGCTTCTCAACACGCTCTTTGTACTCCAAAGAGGGGTGCCCGGCGGTAACACAGGGGCAGATGGTGAAGTGCTGGTGAGGTCAGTGGTTGGAAGTTCAGCGGTTGAATACCCCGTCTGTGTGGAGATGGAGGTTGTTTCTGGCGCAGATGGGGGGGAGAAGTTGGTTTGGAGAACGGCGTGCGATTCGCAATTTTTGAATGATGAGAAGGGGGCGGAGGAGTTGCTGGAGAGGTTGGATAAGGTGTTGAGGTATTTGGTTGACGGTGGAGAGAAGAGCGTTTTGGAGTTTGAAGGAGGCAAGATGAGTGTCTGTGGGTTGGACGGTTTTACTCCGGCAGCTGATGAAGACACTGTCCCCTTTGATGGCGGGGATCTGGTAGACGATGCAGATGTTGGTGGAGAGTGGTCGGATCTGGAGGAGAACATCAGGTCTGTCCTGGCAGAAGTTGCTGGCCTGGAGGTATCCTCGGTCCAGAAGGGCAACAACATCTATCACCTCGGTCTGGACTCCATTTCCGCCATCAAGGTCGTTTCTCTCCTGCGAAAAAAGGGGGTATCCATTCCGCTCCGCCAGCTGTTGAAGGCAAGGAGTATCTCTGCCATGGCTCAGGCTGCTACTGTTGCCGAAGAGCAGCCTGCTGCGACCTCTACCGAATCCCCGGCTCCGAACGAAAACAATCATAGTAGCAACACCATCAACGACACCTCTCTCCCTCCACAGGATGTCGACGCAACGCACATCGCTACCCTCCTCTCCCAATCCGGCATCATCTCCTCCTCCGCTGAGCTGATAACCGACAGAATCGTGGCCGTCCTACCCGCCACGGCCATGCAAGTCCACATGCTTTCCGTCTGGCATAATACCCGTGGCGATGTCTTCCACGCGACATTCACTTATCGTCTGACCGGCAGCGTCAGCAAGTCCACCCTCTCGGATGCTTGGAAGTCTCTGGTTGTTGAGTTCCCCATTCTGCGGACCATGTTCTTGGCGAATGACCAGCCCGAGACGCCGGTAGTACAGGCCATTCTCACACCCGATGCTGTCGTTAATAACTCAGTCGAAGACAGCGATCCAAGACAGTGGTCAAGCATGTCAAGCAAGGGTCAAATTGGATTAGTCCAGCCGTTTAACTCCATGGGTGGTCAACAGGCTGACAATGGGGATTGGATTTTGAGATTCAAGATCCATCATGCTTTGTACGATGCGTTGAGCTTGCCAATGATGATTGACCGGTTCACAGCCTTGTGCGCCGGTGCCAGAATCACTGGGGAATCGGGCAAGTCCAAGTCACTTGAGGTCTGGAAGGGGTATACCCGACAGCGGACGCAGCAGAGAGCGAGGGCGAAGCAGTTCTGGACGGAATACCTCGCTGGCGCTGAGTCGACACCAATCGACCCCATCGTGGACATTATGGCGACAAATTCGTCAACAGAATCACAGGCACCCACAACGGCATCAGCTCCAGAGAAGGCAGAGGAAACACCATCACCGCAGTCCACCTGGCTACCAGACTTCCTCCGACCGTTGGTAGACGGACTTTCTCGTCTCCTGTCAGGGACCATAACCATATGGCAGTCGGCCCCAGCTCTAGAGCATCAACCCCAACAACCCTCGCGGCGCGTCTCTCTAGTCCAACACGGTGCCATTGCAGACATCTCCAGGATCAAGAAGCTGTGCGCCATGGCCGGGGTCTCAATCCAAGCCCTCTTCTTCGCTGCTTACGCACGTTTTCTATCTGAAACTGCCCCCGCTGAGGGAAAATGGAGCGACGTGGTCTTTGGGGTCTACCTCGCCAACCGCTCCTCCGAGCTGTCCGAAATCCCATACCCAACTCTCTGCCTTGTGCCCTTGCGCGTTCGAGTCCAAGAAAGTCTGCTGAGCATGGCCAAGCGAATCCAAGAGGATCTGTACAAGATCTCTGATGTTGAGAATGTTGGCGTGGGACTCTGGGAGATCAAGGAGTGGACTGGAGTGGTGGTGGATGGGTTTGTGAACTTTTTGAGTGTGCCTATGCCTTCTTCCGACTACAACAGCAACGAGGCAGGCAAGGACGAGCAAGAGAAGGTGATGAGGATGGAGCTGGTGAGCGAGGAGGAAGTGAAGGTGATGGGAGAGACCGGAGAGCAGCAGGAGTTTGTGCTGCCTGAGGAGCTCGAGAACAATGCGGTTAGGGGGGTTTATCCGGTAAGTTTGACCAAGTCGGATTTCCTTTGGACGACGGCATATGCTAACGGAGTAATACAGGACACAATCGATGTGGAATTTGCCATCGATGGTGACGCGGTTACGATGGGCGTGTTTGGGTTGAAGTATAAGCTCGGTCCGGATGGGCCTCGGTTTGTAATTACAGAGATGGTCAAGGCGTTGACGGCATTGTAGGGGGTATCGGTGTCTTTTTGGTTCTTATTTTCCTGTATGTTGGTAGTATTTACGGCGTCGTGGGACATTTGTTGGTAAGGTTCGATCCATTATGTATTACAATCTAGGTACGGTATTAGAGATATGTTTGTTCATTGTTGCTGCTTGTCCTTCTTCCACGTCCAATCCGCATCTGTTGTCGCCAGAAGTTAGCGTACATCCGAGAGAAGGGAACATGTCAAGGTCATCAGAAAACTCACCAGGATGCAGCACCGGCACCTCAATATCCTTCCTACTCTCCCTCTTGGCCCTCCAATCCGCCCCCGGAAACCTCTTGTCCCTCTCATCCAACACCTTCTCCATATCCGGAAACTGGCTCTCCTCCGTAAAACTCGTCATCAACTGCGGCTCCCCCAACGGCAACTTATCCCCCCTATCCACCTGCCACAAGTGATAAATCTTACCATAGAGCGTGATAACCTGCTCCATCTCCGTCCGCTCCGCCTTCTCCCACGCCACCTGCGGCATCAACCCCGTCGGCTTCGGCATGATCAACATCCCGCTCTTGACCTCAAACACATGCGTATGCCAGTACCGCCTCTCCTCCTGCGGCAGCGCCTCGTACAGCTTGGGTGTGATCATGTACTCGATTCCCAAGATCCGGGCCCCCGGGTCGGGACTGTCGTAGAGAATACACTGCCGCACGTCCTCGGTCAGGTGGGCGCAGTAGTGGTTTGCTTCGACGACGCGCGTGGGGTCCGAGGCGTACACGTGGAAGGCGTTGAGGTGGCCGCAGATGGATTTGAGGGGGGCGAAGTCTTGAGATAGAGAGGCGCCTGTTTCGAGTGTCGAGGAGAGGGCGGTTTTGGGGGAGCCGGGGATCAAGGGGTTGGAGGGGTCGTGGCAGGCGAGGGAGGGGGTGGGCACGTCCCGACTGTCGCTGTATTTTGTGGAGGTGGTGTGGTCGGAGGAGGAAGACATGTTGGCGGTGGTGATGGTCGAGATGGTTGTGGTTGTGGTTGTGTTGGTGGTTTTGACCTTTAGGGTCGGGATGGCGATGGATGATGAAGGGAAAGAATGGCAGTTCTTCAGTGTGAAATGATATGTTTGGCAAAAGGAAAGAGCGAAGGAAAATGGAAATGTGCCCGAGAATCAGAAACGAAGTGGTCAAGAAGCTCTTGTCCCAAGCTAGCAGTGACGTCACGATGGTGATTGAGAACCTCGATGCCCCGCGAGATGGACATAGTTGCCTGCCGCGAGGGGACAGCCGGCCGGCAAAGAGCTAAAGTGGTTTGCCAGTGCAGTTAGGAAGCACTAACAGTCTATAACAGGCACGTCCATTGACTTGATATTCATCCAGGAGCTTTGCTGCATATCATTTTCGGTCAACGTTCGTCAAAATCGGAAAGTGGTTTCAGTAGAGAGAATTGACCCATTGATATGGCCTGGATAGGATTGTTCGAGTTCATATGCTTGGACTGTAGCTGGGAAGCAGCTTTGCCTGGGCTTTGGTCTCAACATTGTCCACACTTTCGATCTGATCTCGAACGTCACTCACTGGCAAACTCTTCGTCCGTCCGTTATCTTTGGCTCCTGGTTGCTTGAATGCTCACGATATGCTACCGACCGGGCTGTGAGGGGTAGTTACTGTTTTGTCAAACGTAAACAAATCATTTTACCCCCTCTTTGGCCACGCAAGCAACAAGGCGCAGCAGCAAGGAATTGAAGAGAAGGCCAAGTCCTGGGCAACTTGGTGGATATTTGGTCTAGATTTAGAAACCACGATGGACTTGCATTGTGGCCATGTCTCAACAATTTTCTGCCTAGATATTGCTGTGGTGGTTGCGGAGGTCGCCCACGATGAAACAGGCCAAAAGAGCCAGAACCTTCCTGCGAGATGGAAGTTGGGGGCTGAAAAGGAAATCATTTCCCAAGAGGAAAGCATCGGTGCTGACATGCAGCAACCTAGCACGGCAGGCTCGATCACCTCATTTCCGCCTTTCAAGTTGATAGCTCAGTTTTTATGTTTTGAATATGAGAGCTGAAGCGGAAGGAGTGGGCGAGGAATATGGAAGTTACGAAGGATGAAAAAGAATTGTGTCATCTCACGATACGATGTCCAAGAGGAAAGATTTAACAACCAGAAGTGGAAGATGGGATGGAAGGCGCGGCGCGCGGGAAGTAACAGTGCCAGAGTGACAGCTGTCTGCCCGCTGCAGACGGATGCCTACCCCAAATCCTAGCGCATTGTTAGCGCAGTGCCTCCGCCATCTGATCTCCGTCGAGTCCAGTTCCAATGCAACCTCTCAACAACCTTTCGAATTTCCATTACCACCATTGGTGACCTTGTCCTTTTCTCGACCCTCGTCGGGTACACACACAACAAGAACCCATGTTCGACCACCCCGACCACCTCTATCACCCCGTCCTACCCTATCAGATCCGCCCGACATCACCACGTCCAGACTTCTTCCAGCATGTCGCACCCAAAGAGGTTGTTTACCGTCGCACACACCATGGCGGCGGCAGAGCCTCCTTAGAGGTAGCATTCGAGGTCCAAGTACGTCGTCGTCACAACTGATATTGCTGCGCCCCCCTCCTAAACCTCTTCTGTTTCTTACAATAGTGACACTGATCACCCTCTCTTTTCTTGCTCCAGGTCATGTCTGTTACATAACAGAGTAGCATCCCCTTCCGTCAGGCTTCGCTTGCCTCTTCGCTCCTACGATTCAACGACACCAACAACAACCACGAGACCACCATCACGTCACGAATACAGTCATACCCAGACACGGTCACTGCTACGACGCTTGAGAAACCCAAACGACACCCAAATCTACACCCATGCCCTTTCCCAACTCAACTTGTCCATAGCGGCCTCTTTTCGTTCCTGCGCCTGGGGCCATCCCCTATACCGACAACATGGGCGGCAGCGACAGAGTCGAAACGGCCGCCCTCGTTATCTCGCTCGTGGCGTTGATAGGAACATTCCTACAAGTTGCCCAACAGTACTTCGCGTCTGCCACAGGCTACGCCAACTGTAAAAAGAGTCTCTCCGGCGGCTGGCTCGCAAAGGTACATCGCAGGTTCCGCCTTTTAGAGCTTCGCTTCGAAGTCGAGTTCGAGACGCCCGTGATATTCGTCTGTAAGCCAGACAACAAGAGAGGTCCCGTGCAGGGCGCGGATATCCTCTTCCTGACACATAAAGAGAAGAGCAAAATTGAAGCCGGGATCTGGACGTCCAAGGATCAAAAACAGGTGGAAGAACAGCTGCGAAAGATCCAAAGAAGCAGATTGACATTCTGGAAACCACAAGGCCGCGCAGGAGCAACAGAGGAGCAGGACGAGCACCAGAACAGCATCTGGGAATTCTGGCGTTGGCCGCAAAAGGCGCACGAAGAGTCAAAGGAGAGACAACGTCAGATTCAGCACAACCGCGTGCACACGGCCGATAACGAAGAAGCCACCTGGCTTAAGCTTTTGCGAACAATTCACGATATGGAGAAGACCAGCGCCGCATGGGTCCAAGATCATCACGAGAAGTCACGCGAAAACCAGTTGGGCCCGATAAAAACATCAAACAAGATCTTCCCCAGACCAAAACACAGCTTGGTTGTTGCCCTTCAGGCCAAGCCCCAGAGTTGGGACAACATGCCCACCAGTGTCAAAAAACCATTTGCCACCACTACCATGTGCCACATAGTCGAAATCGCCGCCATGATGGGGATCTACTGGAAGGAGTTCGATCGATCAAGGGACAAATACCGCGCTGAAGGCAACGGTTTCATGCTGACTGGTAGCACCGTCGCCGACCTCGGCCTCTGCTTTACCTTTCAGATTTGCGGCAAGGCCCGCTTTCGAGAGAACAGAATCATACCTGTGGATGGCGTCAAGTCGCTGTGCTTTGGGTATGTTCCTACGTTATTCCAGGAGGAGGAGGACATCCGCAGAATTGATGCCAAGGATCCCGATGAGCTCCAGTTTGGCAGTATGCTGGAAATTGCTGAGACCATGGTCGCGCTCAAATGCAATACCAACACGGCCAACTACTTCAAGACATTATTTCAAGGTGCCAAGCACCAACACCTATTTGCAGGTACGTTTACAGAGCTGTTCTGGTTTCAATAACACTTTGGCCAACAATCATGCTACGCAGTTCCTTTCGAGATCATCGGCATGCTTGGCAAGTCCCTCTATAAGGAGAACAGCTACTACCGCATGCTCCCAAATCCTACTCCGTATACCTGGGACGAGAACTTCTTCAACCTTTCTCAGCTCATTCAAGAATACGAAAAACGGATCAAGGAAAGGGAGCAGACACCTCAGATTAAAGTCATCACAGACCTGGCCGGAAAGGTCTTGAAGCAATTGGACGGTGACAGATTGGACGTCAAACACAGAGAAGAGGAGAGGAACAGATTGATCGAACAAGACAAACTGGAAATGGAGGATCGAAAAGCTGAATGGCTAAAAAAGAGGGAGAAGAGGAAGGAGATCGTCACAGTAAAAGCTGAGCTGACAGGGGCACATGAACCCAAAAGGAAGCCTACTGGTTGGTTCCCGTGGCAGTCACCGAAGAAACGAGCACGGACAACCTTGGAGCTGGCACAATGGCGAGCTGCTAATCCAGACGAGCAAGAGGAGGAAGACGACGAAGACGAAGAATTCCAAGGAGATAAGAAAGATCGGCCCCCGGTTGTGCCTGGGTATTATCTTCCTCTTCTCAATACACTGCATCAAGCCATTGAGACGTGCGACGTGTACTTGAAGAAGTGCGTGCCTCGCGATCTTCTGGATCTTGTTGTTCGTGAGCATATTCAAGAAGTGCTCAGGATCATCAATGTACCAGAAACGGAGTCTCAGAAGGACGATAGCGCACAACCACCCGAAGCGAGAGATGAGACACCGAAAGACGGGAAAAAGCCAACGCCACAGACATTCTTTGAACAACTCAGCGCTGCCAACCCAGAAGATAGGCAGGGCAAGTTTATGGACAGGTATTTTGATCAAGTCCTCCCCTGGGCAACCGGACGTGCTGTCGAATCTTTCAACAAACTCAAGCCATCTAACGAGGCGGGCGCAACGATTGCGGACACCAAAGAGGCACAGGAAACCTGGTGCACTCTGGTCTTCAGGATGTTGTGCTGGCTGCAATTACATGACTTTGACAACAAGGACAAGCAAGTGGAATTCCCAAAGAGCGGGCTCAGAGGCAATCGGCTTCCTGTTTTCATCTCCTAGGAGGAGGATGATGGCATGGCTTGCATGCTACCCTATCCTTCATCATTTTTCTTCCTTGACGACATAAGCATGGGGATTGTTTTGATGTCCAGGGTTCGGGTTATTTCAACGGTTTTTTGCAGCTTTTGGACTTTGTGTTCATGTTTTGGAATTTTTATGCATGTTGGACTAGACGCATAGCGTTCGCGGTTTTTGGATATGTTGACACTCCTTGGCATGATAGACGCGCTATTTGGCTTGAATATTTAGCACTTTGGCTTGAAGCGTTTTGTTGTTGTTCCTTCTCAGCGTTGTCTTCTTGCTTTTTGCGATAAGGTTGCCCTCGACACAAACACGATCGACGCATTGCGTGTACGGGCTCTGCTTCAACGTCACCCATCGACCTCACGGTACAGTATCAACAACCTCACATCCCTTTTGACACTTGACTTTCAGTACTGCTTCCATCTCGATGGTGTCTTCCTGGCTAGTGACTCACCGCACGGACCACCATCCATCACGATGGCTCAGACGGGCACCCACACACACCACACAGATCGGACTGCTGTCGTGTCTCCAATTGAAGGGCACAGGCTTTCCGTTGGTGGTAACGCTGAGTTTAGATTGTTTTCTAACCCGTAGTTGACTCGTTTTCACCCGACGATGGCGTTGGGACTTGCGACAATGCAGCGCAAGCTGACATGCGAATACCTTGAATCATGAGAGAACGAAGGAAGGTAAGAGAGGGGAAAGGATACCTGCGTACGCGGCACGCCAGCTGCTTGCGCGGTCAACTCAATATTTCACGGAAGACATGGGGACTCGGAGAATCTTGACTTTGAAGCCACTTGCGACCATCACTAACTCTCAGACTCTCCATACAAGCACTCAACGCGGACTCACGGAATCTCGCGAGGTGGGAGTGGGGCAACTGATGATTTGGCATGCCCCTAATGCATGCTCTTTGCACCAGTTCAACCACTGACGAACCGTTCTCACGGTCTCGAGAGCAAGGCCGACGAGGTGGTTGGTGGGTGATTGGACCATTCGCTTGTCTCTGCTTGTCTGTCTTGCAGAGCGCCAGTGTTCGCTCCCGCCGGGTCTTTTTACGGGGTGCTCGTAACACGACAGGTGGTTGACGGGCCTGTCACCTACCGATCAACGGGAGCAACTGGCGCTGATGTTGTTTCAGCAATGGAGTGGAAGAAGATCATGATCTTCTCTTGTCCATTTAGTATGTATATCCTCCGCGTGTCGCTCTGATTGCGAGTTGGGTGTTTCGACTCACCTTGTTCACCTTCTCGCTGGCGCGTCCGCGGGTGTTCCCGACCGAGACCAGACGAGCGGTGGAGACAGCGGGACTCGGTCGATAGCCGATCTCACCGACGATTGGATATTCCAAAGTGGCTGGGGACACCGTTGAAGTAGCTCCACACACACTTTCTTCGAGATCAGATTGGTTGATTAGGGTTAAGCGCGCCACAACCAAGGTGAAGCGCCTCGTTTCCAGACTTCCCAAGCGAACCGCCGCCGGGGAGGTAGCCGAAGGAGCACGGGCCATCTCACTCACCCATGGAATCGACGGGAGGGCGGAGAGACGAGCGGTGAAGAGATCCACAAACATTTCTTTGGTGGGAGTGGGGGTGAAGAGAGTTTCATGTACAGTTCACCCCTGGTTTGATTGTTAGCGCGGGACTTCACTACGCACTCTTTGCAACTCAACCACCATTCCACCAAATTTCATGCAAGAAGTTGGTATCAACCAGATGCGTTTTGGCCGCTTTATATACTCTGTCCAATTTTCCGTTTCGAATGTGGTTGTCCCGTTGTTTTTCTGTGTACTTTTGCTGACCCCTGTCTCAAGAACCGCGCTAACAATCAAACCAGCATTGAACTGTACTTCCCCGATCCTGGGGGCTTGGTCATCGGGTCGAGGACCCCTCATCGCGGTGATATTTTCAACTTATCGAAAGAGAGGGGGAGAGGGGAAGAGGTTGAGAAGAGAGTGAGAAGACGACTGAGGTTCAGGAATTCCTCGAATGTGACAAACTGCAAGGAAACCCGATTTCTGACATCTTGCCCACATCTCGCCCAATCAATGGTAACGTCTAATCAGTATCATTGAGCATCGACTGGTTAAGTGCCGTCAACTCCAAGTAGCAGCAAGCAGCCCTGAAAATGCTACGCATAGGACGCATCTTCCGCCATTCACGCTGCTTGCTTGCGTTGATTGCTTGCGTTGGTATGCTAGGCATGCTGGCTGGCTGTCGATATTCTCGTCTCCGAACGGGGAAAGGTGGGAGGGCTTGCAAGGACAAGACTCGGGTTGGAGGAAGCATGAAGCATGAATCGATAGTGGAGGAGGTCTCGTTCCGATTCTCAGTCCCAGACCGTTTCCCCTCGTCCCCTCCCTGCTTCTGGGCTCTCCGGGCTGTCTCTTCTCCAGTGAGAAAAGAGAAAGAAAAAAGGACGGTGGCTTACACATGACTGGACTGACTTGTACGGTCAAAAACCTACGAGGGAGGGCATGTCATAGCATGACGAATTAACGAATAGTAATATTCCCGGCCCTGGCGTATTGGACCTGGACCTTACTTACCCTGACTTTTGTTTCTACTTCTCTTCTTTCTCCTCCTTCTTCTCACTTCTTACTGGACTCTTCACATTCGAATCTTTACATACGACCGACCCTCGCCGACCTAAAATCGAAATATACAACCTAGATCCCGGCTACCTCAGTTGAAGCTCAGCCCAGAGAGTGGAACATCAAGAGAGAAGAGTGGCGCTGTATCCACATTTTCCTCCCAGGGGGCTGGCACCGACAAGCGAAGACAAGCGAACCGCGCGATCCTTTGACAAAAACCACTTTAACTCTTGCATCTTTCTTCTTTGACTCACCAAGACCATATTCCCATACATTACGTTTTTTGTTACTTGGTTTCCTGTTCTTTCGTCAGATACACCTATACCCCTCAACGACAACAACGGCCCCAAACCACGATCGAGTCAACCACTGGCTGGGAACAACACTCGATTACTCCAGGCGTGGTACCCCGCCATTACAACGCCTACAGCACCTTTGGTCCTTTCAGGTCCAGCATATCAACACCACAACACTTAAAGACGACATATACCAACCGCCAAGATGCCAGGCGAAGAGATTATCACCATCGTCAACAACTCGGGGAAGATCATCAGCACGGTAAGGACTCCCCTGTCTGTGTCACCCACCTTGTCTCACCTGCCGATTGGACATTTACTAACAACTCCGAAATAGGGGAGGCAGCTGATGGGCATCTTCAAAGATGCCAAAGCTACATACCGCGAGAGGAAAGAAGCCGCAAAGGCGGAGCGCGACTTCCAGAACGGCAGCTATTCCTCCGGGCGATCACGCGGAGAAGTTCATATCACAGTTCCCCGAGGTCGAGGATACGATGAATACGACTCCCGGGGTCCCATCAAGAAGCTCGACGGCGGCAACATTAGGGATCGCAAGCTTCTCGGCGACAGCAGTGGACGCCGCAAATCCCACGATGATGACACCCGTTCCTTCGCTTCTCGCTACACCTCCGCTTCGCGCAGTAAGTCCCACCGCAAGCGATCATCGTCCCAAGCCCCGACTCCCTCGACAGCCCTGACGGAGGGCAATCTCAAAACTTACACGGAGATATCGGCAACAGCTCCATCGAAGCCGCCAAAGGGGTACAGCAAGGATTTGGAACTTGCCAGCCGACCACCCCTCAACTACGCCAACACCATGCCCGCCAGCCCGACCTTCGACGTCGCCGCTTCAGGAAGCAGGAGTCGCAACCCCTTTAAACGTCACCATACCGAAGCTCCGCCCTCGAAGAACAAGAACAAGGATCGAGACCACGACCTAGCCTACGGCGACCTCCCTCCCGACCTGCACCTGCGCGACGACCTCGACCGCGGCCGTCACCGCTCCTCCCACGATAACAACCACTCCTACCCCGTCCCACCCCAGGGGATCCCCACCTTCGCCCCCGACTTGACGCCCCAAGAACCCGAGCAGAAAGAAGCGCTGGATCTCATCTCCCGCATCGAATCCTTCCTCATCGAGGCGCACTGCATGCAGGCGTCGGCGTCGTCCATGATCGAGAATTTGCAGCAGAATCCCGAAGCTGCGGCGGCTGTTGCGCTGTCGCTGGCTGAGCTTAGCGCCATGATCGGGAAGATGAGCCCTGCTTTCTTGGCGTTTTTGAAGGGTGGCAGTCCGGCGATTTATGCCTTGCTTTGTTCGCCGCAGTTCTTGATTGGCACTGGCATTGCCGCCGGAGTGATGGTGGTTATGTTTGGCGGGTGGAAGATCATTAGGAAGATTACGCAGGGGAATGCGAAACAGAAGGAGGCGGCGGTGGAGATGAATGCGGTGTCTGGGAATGGGAGTGGGCCTGCTATGGGCGCCATGGGATTTGATGCAGGGGCAAGGGCTGGTGCTGCGGGAGGGCATGAAGATGCGCTGGTGCTGGACGAGGAGCTGAGCACCATTGAGTGCTGGAGACGCGGGATTGTGGTAACGGGTGAGGAGGAGGCCGAGGTGGAGTTGAGGAGTCCGGAGGCGGATAAGGCGCTGAGACAGAAGTATAAGGAGGAGGTGGAGGTCAGCCCGGATGATTCGGTCTCTCAGGTGGGATTGGCGAGACGGATGACGGTCAAGAAGGAGTATAAGCCGAGTGGATTGAGGGAGAGGTTGAGGGATGCCGTGGGGGGGCATTCGGATAAGGAGCGGGATGGGAAGGAGAAGGAGAGGGACAGCAAGGATCGCGACAGCAAAGACAAGACCAGCAGCAGCAGACGCCACCGCGACGACCTCGACATCCCCGACCGCAAGTCCTCGCGCGACAAGAAAGACAAAGCCACCAGCGAAGTCGGCGCCTCCTCCCAAGTTTCCTACCGCAGCTCCCGCTCTCACCGCACAAGCACTCGCAGCGAAGCCGGCGGTGGGTCCTCGTCTCGCTCCAAGCTAGACAGAGAGAGGGAGAAGGACACCAAGGAAAGAGAAAGAAAGACGGCTTCGAGAGTCGGGACCAGCAGCAGCAAGGAGGTGAATCTGGATGATGGAGACAGCGGAAAGAAGAAGAACAACATGATTAAGTCGCTGTTCAAGAAGATGAAGGATAAGGAGGATGAGAAGATCGCCACCAAGGAGAGGGACGAGAGGCGGGAGAAAGATGGGAAGGAAAGGGAGAGACGGACCTCCAAGGAGGGACATGGAGAGCGCCATGTGAAGAGGGCTGCGAGTGTGGCGAACTAAGGTGAAAGTCATGATGGGATGAGAAATGATCATATGTGAGATGAATATGGATATGAACACGACAAGAGATGGAATTTGGAATTTTTGACTAGCAAGAGGTGGGACTTGGGATTACGGGATGGGATTATAGGGTTTGGATATCGGGATACAGTTGCCACCGGAGCAATCAACATGTGCTGGACACGCGGCCGCGGCGGAACTTCAACAGAACATGGGGGCAGGAACTACGGCGCATGAGGTGGTTGGTGTTGGTTTCCTTCTTCTCTCTTGGTTGTCACACAAATCGGATACAAACAGTCCTTGCCTTTTTATTTGCTAGATACCGCACTGATTTATTTCTTTCATGTTGGCATTTTCGTTTTCTGTTCTTCTTTTCTTTACTTATCTTCATACATGATTCTACAGACACAACCCGCTGCAGTGTGTGCGATAACCTGGTCTCGAGCTATTGATCAAATCAGTCTGTTATTCAGAGTGCATATTATACTTTGTTGCAGCTACCTTATCGTTGGATTTGACACAAGACGATCCTTCAGCTTAGTTTATAGACTTGACTTCAAATACTACGTTTCTTCAAACATCTTATGTCTTCGCCGCCCCGTCCCAATCACACAATAAGGTTGTGGTATTTACAAAGGAATAATAACACTCTTATCCTCCTTCAACCATTGCACCCTTTCTTTGCAAGACCATACCGCTCGATTGCTAACCTGTTTAGATGTCAGCTTTCTCAGCCTCTGCAAGGAAATGGGAAGGGAGATACGGACGTCCACTCATAATGCCCAGTCATGATCGTGTACACCGAGTGCAGGTACTTGTCAACATTATCCCTCACCATAGGGCCAGGGTCTTGAGCGGCCATCTCCTGGAGTCTCGTTCCGGCTGCTTCCATCTTGTCACTGATTTGACCTAGGTACTCAACGAGGAGATTGATGGCTTTATCCAGACCAACGGCCTCAATAATCATGCACTCCCACCAACGAGGAACCAACTGAGCGGTACATAATGGCACATCCATGTGAATACTGAAGAACTTATAACCTCGCAACGGCGATCGTCGGTCATGGAACCTCGATTGATACGATAAGGAATAATAGAGGCATATTCGGGAACCGTGCAGGAGCAGCAAGGGTGATTTGCTTAGGAAGGAAAACTCGCGCACCTCTGTTTAAAGACAGCATTACCCAACTGCAGATGCCAATGACGCCGCAGGCTATCAGGAAGGGAAGATGTTGCATTGCCTTTTGTTCCAGCCGAACTCCAATAACAGAGGTATGTGGATACAGGGATAGTGTCATACGTCTTTTCTGGCCCCGGGTGTAATGAATAAATAACCTCAAACTTCATTCGCTTTTGCTCTCCCAGAATGGCATCTCTTTACCATATCCTCTTGGCAATCATCTCATACCTCATCACCGTTCCCAAATCCTTCTCTTGTTTTCCCCCTCCCCCCTTCCCTCCTCCACCCCCCTTCTCCCTCTCCCGCACTTTGTTGAGCCCCTTAGGATCATCAGCAAAAATCCACCTCCTTCTTTCTTCTCCCACCTCGACCTGTCCAAACCCTCCCACCCTCTTGCCCTTTGTCTCAAATGACTCCTTCTCCGCTTGTCCAGCAGCAATGGCAGCCTCTTTAACCTTCATCCTCGCGTATCGATCGCGCGAGTATCTGAGTAGAAGCATGCCTAGTAAAAGCTTGAAGATAAGAAGCACCAAGAAGATCAGAAGAAAGACGGTTATCATGGTCAGGAAAGCAATGACGTCGTCGGATGTCCATTTCCACTCGGGCAACCACTTGGACACCGAGTGCCAAATGTGAGTTGCGAGGCCAGCTGGTTCGGGTATATCCCCTATGGGAGCCGAGGCCGGACCAGAAACGTTATCCCCTAGTCCACCGGATTCTCCGAAAGGGTAGCCGTATACCGCTCGGCCTAGAGCGATGCGGATCTTCTTGTCTAGACGGTCCAAAGCGGCTAGCATAGCTGGAGAGGGTGTAGCTGAATCAACGGATAGTGAAGTCTGCGTAGAGGGCGGCAAGGGGGTGGGAACATGGACGGCGACGAACATGTTGTAGATCTGGAAGGAGGCGCGGATGAAGAGGCAGGATAGGGGCAAAAGGGGGAGGCCGAGGCGGCGGGTTAACTGGGGCGTTACGAAGGCCTGGAACTGTTAGCAGGTGAATGAAAGAAGCGGGAAGAGGGGGTTACGTACATTCGTATAATAATCCTTACACAAGATATCCAGAATCCTGCTATAAAAGTTCGGCTTGATATTATTGAACTTGATCACATAAGCATGCTTGATCCAATCCACCACCATCTCGCTGCCAATGACCACCACAAACGGGCTCAACACTTCCCCGCTCCACAACCAGCTGGGGAGGATAGTAAAGCTCGCGGGCAGTATACTCGCCGTATGCAGCGGAAAGGAACTAGGGCCTGCATCTTCGCTGCCATACCCGGGCACACTAAGCCCGCCAACCTCGACCACGTTCCTCATGGCAATGATCAACAGCATGATCCACAGCTGGAACCGCTCGACGATATCGGCACAGGCCATCTGGAAGGTATTCTCCTTTTCGAACCTCTTGAACACAGCCGACTTGATCTCAACGAACTGGTTACTCATCAACAGCGTGAGCAGGGTGTTGCTATACGAGTTAACAGCCACGTTCAGCGCTATCACCTGGTAAAACAGGATAACCGCATGCAGAATGTTGTACACCAGCGCCAAGCAAAAGATGCCCAAGGGGAGCAAGACCTTGCTGCGGCCTAGACTATCCCTCGACAACGTCTCGTTGCTGAACAAGCATTCGAAGATGTCTTGCCCGAGGGCAGCCAACAAACGGTCGCCCACTTCGAGCAGGTTGTAGATGGTGTACAACTTGATGGCGGATTGAGCGCGGATAGAGTGATACATGCGCGAGGCGTCGAGGGACATGAGGGCGATGGAGGAGACGATGACGACGGCGCCTTGGAGAAGGTCGGCTTTGTTGTAGTGCGTCAGGTTGGACGGGTTGGATTTGGTCCGACGGTGGCCAAGGTAGCCTCTGCCTCGGCGGCTGGGACCGGGGGGCTTGGTCCCGGGAGCCATGCGGAGGTTGGGATGACGGGTGTCGGCGCCGGCGGTGGTGGCACTGGTACTGTTATTTACCGGCTGCTCCCGTACCCGACTTTGACTCCGTGACCGCTGACCATCGGTACTGGCCACGGACTCTGACCGCCCACGCCGACCGCGCCTCCACATCCGTCCAAGGCCGTACCACACGAATCCCACCAGCCATCGAGTTTCTTTGCCGATAACGTATCCCCACCACTGAAGGAGTATTGACACGGCAATCCCAAAGCGCATTGGTAGGATAGTGAAGGTCCATAACCAAGCGTCCAGACAAGCCAAAGCACCAAAGGTTATAGATCTCTCGAGGACGAAGGGTAGAATCAAGAAGTTCTTCAACCGCTCGAACTTGATTGCGCTGGACTCGTAGGGGATGTCGCTAGTGTACGAGTGGTGGATGTATAGGGGACTCGGTCGCGATCCAGCCAGCTCGAGTTGTAAGAGTGTAGGTACTGACATGGGCGGTAAAGGGATAGACTGCGGTATGGGGGATGGGGGCGCCGGGTCAGGCTCGGGCTGGCGTGGTGGAGGGCCGGCCCTGGGTTCGGCGCCAGGGTCAAAGTTGCTTGTTCCATCGAGATCGAGAGGCGGCGGTCGAGGATTCGGCTGGTACGAGTTGCGACGGATCGAGGCTTGCTGAGCTGGATGAGCTTGTTGGGCGGCTGTGGCCGTCAGACGCCTGCTCACCGGTGGAGTAGACACCGTTCGCGGGGCGATTGTAGGTCTTTGCGGGTGAGTTCTCGTGCTTGTTGTATTTGGACCATTCCCATTTGCGATTCCCAGTTGAGACTGGAGTCTGGAGCTTACTTCGGCGAGAGCTGGTGAGAATGTAGGCTCAGCGGGCTGGCGGTCGGGAGCTGTCGCAATGGGCAGAGACTCGGGAGCGTTCGTCAGTTCTTGGATCTTGGACGCGGACAGACGGCGAACTCCATCATGAGCAGCTGTCTTTGTCCCTGATCGGCTTCGGGTCTTGGAGTGGTTGGGACTGAGAGGTTGCGCCGGAGCTGCTGTTGGTTGACTCTCGGGCTCGGGTGTCAAGAGATGGACGAAAGGCACGAAGGGCTCGGTGGGAGTAGCAGAGGGCAATGTCTCGTTGACGGGGGTAAGGCGGTCGTTCGAGGGTTCTGGACCCGTGGTGCCGTTCGTAGCTTTCGCAGATGTTATGTCGGTGTTGTGGGCAGCTCGCGCTGCCAGGTCGCTTGCGGTAAGACGCGGGGATGGAAGATGGCTGGTTGCTGTGTTGGAGTGCTCGTCACCATCTTCGACGCTTGCTTTCACATCAATGACTTGTAGATGTTCTGAATCGGCGGCTATCGGAGCATGTGCTTGTGTGTTGGTGTCGTTGTTGGAGACAGCGGCGCGTGGACCGTGGCCGTTCTGTTGTCCGCCATTTAGGACCGCAGTGTCACCCTCCATGGTTTTCGTCCGGGCGGAGTGTTTACCGCAGTTCTTATAGTTGTTATGACTGGCCTAGTGTCTTCATGTTGTTGGGCGCATAAGGAACCGAGAGCAAGACGGTTGTCGTGGACTGACAAAAGATCAAAGAATAGGACGAGGCCGACAGAAAGACAAGTGGAGGATCGGCGCGTGGTTCAGCCTTGGCGCCAATGACGTTGCGGTTGCTGGCCGTTAAGGTAGCTCCACTAATGAGCTGCTGAAGACGCCTGTAAAGTGTCCCCTGGCAACATGTCTTATCAGCTCAATCAGCCTTATCAGTACTCACCTTTGCTTCCTTCCTTTGACATCAACTTCACTGTTTTAGCTGCTCAACCACCCAGTGACGAGAGTCTGCTTCGTCAGTCGGCATGCTTGCTACGAGTGATCTCAATACCAATAGGCCTTCATCGAGAGGAAAGCCTGGCGTCCATCCGAAGGAGCTGCTGACCTCTTCTGTCATCTGTGGGGTTAGGGTTGATACCCTCTTGTTGCCTTGTCAGCATTTCTACCTCAAGTAAACCTCCTCGGCCGAGTAAGATCGGAAAACCGACGCCGACGATATCTCGACGTTGACATATGCCACGAGGGCATGGCAGGGAATATTCGTTCCGATGATACGGTTCGAGATGGAGATGCTGCGACCGACATGGTCTACCACGCCCTTTCATCGACAAGGGTCGGCCGCTTTTCCGATCAAGAAATAGTGGATTGAGTCACTTTACAAAAATCGGGGTATCACTCCGATGTCTCCAGATATAAAACCCATCGGGACTTACTGTGTAATACACGAACATAAGCAGTTCATCACTCGCTACCTCACCTTCAGTATCTCAAAATGACCGCCTCAACAGAATCCCCCTCCACCGCCCCCTCGGCCCCTCTCACCGACGAAAAAGTCGCCATGCTCAACACCAATGAAGTCATCGCAACCTCCCAACTCCCCAGTCCCCCTCTCCGGGGCCGTATCAACGCCGACATCTCCATCGCTCCAGCCTACCTTGCCGAAGACGACACCTTCGTCAACAGTCTAACCAACCTCATCAATGAAATCTACACCGACGCCGAACGCGGTTTCTGGTCCATCGACCCCTTCACCCGCACCAACCCGGCCGAGGTCCGCTCCTTCATCACCAGCGGCACCCTAGCCGTCGCATGGCTCCCGGGCTGTTCACGGGGGTGCATTGAGTATCTGTTGGGCTGCGGCCGCGTGCAACTCTTGCCTCCTCCCGAACCCTCCTCCAGGACCCCTTCCCATTCCAACCCTGATCCGTCCTCACTCATCGGACAGTTCGGATGTTTAATCTGCCGTCCTGAATACCGGGGTTCCGGAGTGGGGAGGGACTTGCTCAAGTTCGCCGAGGACTGGACGAGGGAGAAGGGAGGGAAGAAGATGCAGGTGGAGCTGGTGGTGGGAGACGGGTGGGAACATGAGGAGAAGACGAAGCTGGCGGGGTGGTACGAAAGAGCTGGGTACCAAAATGTCAAGGAGGTAGATTTGTCTGAGGGGATCCCGGAGCTGGGGCCGTTGTTGGCGAGGAAGGCTAGGTATAGGGTTTACCAGAAGCCTCTCTAAAAAGGGGAATGGAGCATGGAGTTGGGCAGATCATGAAGCGGACATGACAGGAAGGATGTTGGTGTGGGCTGTATGTGACTGTACTATTTCTCTTCACATTCATCAGATCGTTGTGGTTCGTACACGTACACTACACTCCGGGTATCTCATCTATTCCATCCCCTTACTCCAAATACTCCTCAAACCAAGCCACAGCCTGCGCAAACGCCTGTTCCCTCGCAAACTTCTCCGGCTTCTTGCTAAGATCGGCGCGCATGGCGAAGCCGTGGGTGACGCCGGAGTACAAGTTGATGTTGTAGGGGAAACCCGTCTCCTTGAGGATCTCCTCGGACTTGTGACGCTTCTCAGCAGGGAAGATGGAGTCGGTCTCGGCGGCGGCAATAGCCAAAGGACCGTTGATAGCGGCGAGCTCCTCCTCGTCGACGAAGGAGGGATGGGCAATGAAGCCGACGTCGATGCCGGTGAAGGGGGCGGTGGCGGTCATGTTGCGGACCAGGCACTTTGGGGATGTCAGTGACTGCTGAAAAAGGGAAAGCGAGCGCTTCGAGAAGGGGGAAAGACCAGCACAGCATCGCCAGCGCCTTTAAGTGGGCAGAAAAGGGAAAGGTAGCTTACCTTGGCACCAAAGCAATAGCCCAAAGCTCCAATCTTGGTCGCTCCATACTTCTCCTTCAGCTCCTTGATCGCGGCCTGCACAATGGGATCGACGGCCTCCTTGGTATGCGGGTTATCGCCGGTGCTGCCCTTGGTCATCCAGCCCATGAGGTCGAAGTCGTCGGGGCGGTTAATCGGGAGAGCGTCGCCGTTGAAGATGTCGAGAACCACGGTAAGGTAGCCCTGGGCGGCCAGCTGGTCGGCCATCAGCTTGGAGTTTTGCCAGATGCCGATAATGTCGGGAAGGAAGAGAAGGGCTTTGCCGGTCTTCTGGGAGCCAGAGGGCTGGGCGATGTAGGCGTCCCACTTGTCGGCGACCTTGGTCATGGAGCCGGTTGGCTCGCCACTGGAAACAAACTAATGTTAGTGACGGTTGTGTAGGTAAGATATTGGGGTAAAGAGTATGGCGGTGGACTTACTCGTGGCGGAAGCCGACGGTGCAGCACTTGGAGGGAGGGTTGGAGGCCATTGTGATGTTTGTTGGGGTGTTCAGTTGTTTGGTGATACCTTGGAAGAAGAAGAGTCGCAGACGGATACGAAGGGAGAGAAGAGTTGTTTAAAAAGGTATCCGAGATGGATGCGATTTGTAAGCTTGGCTACGGCGTCATAGATCAACTCCCACGCGTTCATGCCGAGCCCACTTTTGACCCCATTCCCAAATCCCAAGTTGTCGTCGCGCGCGTGGTTACCCCTCCCGGCGCCGAAGATCATCGATGCCCCCACTGCGGAAACTCGCCGAGAGCTCCGGGAGACCGGAAATGCTATTGATTCGGATATAATTTGACAGTATGGTCAAAAGAGCACGCCTTGTGCTGGTTTTTTAAAACACCGAGGCAGTACTATCGCACTTATTCTACCAATCACAGCTCGCGATGTATATCCCGCAGCATGGAATCGAGAATGCCAAGCACCCTAGGCCATCCCGGCAGGCATCTCCGAGGCATCTTAACTTGCCTCTAATGAAATTGCCGGCCGCGAAACATTGGACAATTCAATTGTATCTAACTACCTCCTTCACATCTTGATCCTTAAGACATCTGGATACTTCGTGCTATCCATCCCGCTTCTGATTTCGTCTTCACTGCCTATATACATCTGACAGGAAGGACCATTTTCTCACAAATCCAAGCCGCAATCAATGACGCGCCCTTGACATGGATTCAAACCGCACCCTCAGCCTTCCGGAGCTTGCCGCATTCACTCGGTAACACGAAACGTTTGGCTCCTGTACAACTGATATCAGAACATTGAAACAGTGTACAGTACGCACCTTCCGTGTCCCGAAATAGATGATGCTCAATTAAGGCGAGTCAGTTTGTACATTGCAGCGGGTGGCACTCACTTATCCCGATTCAACGGCTCCAATCGTCGAATTGAGGGTCTCGGGGCCCAAAACTGAAGGTATCTCTTTACCCAGTTATGTTTGTCTTGTGAAGAAGAAAAAAAGAAAGAAAAAAGGTAACTGAATGAACGAAAAGCGGCCGCAAGTGGCCACCGCTGGCAGGACATGCACGATCCCATACATAAAGACCGGTAGGTCATGTATAGGCCGTCAAGCCGAGCGGCCCTTAGGTTGGCTTACCTTTAGACCAAGTAGCTTACCATCAGACCCTGCAGAATCATTTGTCGATTTCACCTCATCGAACATCATCCCCGTCGGATGTTGACCTCCATTGCTGCTTTACGGTACCTGTAAGTTTATGTAAGATACTGGAGTATTTTCATTTGACACCTAAGCTCGTTGAATTACTCATGGGGAGCGAAGTGCTCAATCTTCCACGCCACTCCTTTTGTCAGAATTCATCAAAAAAGTGAGAGGAAGGCACCCTCGAGGCAGGTACCAGACACGGGAAAACACCCCAACGTTGTGGGGATATTACCCCACGGGGAAGTGAAGCCATCAAGCCATCAAGGCAAACACAAGGGTCCTTTGGCCCGGGGAACAGAAGGAATCGCGCCACTGTTAGGTAAGGAAATGAGGAGAAATGTGATGATGGCCAAGAGAAATATAGGACCTCAACACATGGAACCAACACGTGTTGCATCGTCAACTAAATTTCCTTCGTAGTCATGTAGTTGATGGTACGAGGGTTGAAGTACTCAAGCAGAAACTCCTTTCGCACATTGCTACTGTTTACGAACCACGACGCAAATTCGTCACCGAACACCGCTTTGAGCTGAATGGCTCATTGATCGTGGCTCATGGTGCGTGTGGGACCTGCAATGGTTGCTGGGTCGGCCGCGGTGCCCAACATGTCCAAATGTTTGGATGGGATCGAGGAAAGAGAAGGATTCTGGAACATCAAACCTCGCTTGAGGTTGCCTCGAGGTGCGCCCAAGGTAGCCTTTTGGGGAGCTGAGTTGTGTTGCAACAGAAGTTGTCTGCCTCGATGCGAAGCCTTGAAGGGGGACGCCATGTACGCAACAGGAAGGTCGTGTGTCTGTGGCACCTCGCCTGAACCTCGCCTCGGACTTGAGAATTTTGTGCTCATTGTTTCTCGAGTGGTCATTGGACAGCTGGTGTCTGAGGCTCTAGTTAGGCCGAGTGGCTGTAAATGCAAAGTCTACCTTTAGGCAATCTTTGCTTCATGGAATTGCGAAAACGAAAGGTTCAGTAAAACCCGAAGTTATTGGAAATGAAGTCACCAAGAGAGGCGGTAAGAAGAAAAGAAAGCTCTAGGTACGGTAGATGACACTTGACCGTTGTGAAGATGGCACAGTAAAGAAAGGTTGTTTTTCACTGACCGAGAAGTGAACACAACGAACGGTCAGAACGGTGAAGATAAGACATGCGGTAAGCACTAGTCTCTAGGCATTGAACGTCACTCAGACGTGTATAGGTGCGAGGTGAGTATCCGTAGGATATGTCAAACTGTCACATACCACTTCTATCTGATGGTTCCATAGATCTGGGTTCGTTGGGCTGCCACTCGTGCGTTGTACGTGGTGTTGCTTTCCCACACCGTCGACACAACATGAAGGCGGCCAGCGACGGCTCCATGCCACCATGTTTGTGGGATTGGATCATGCAAAGGTTTCCCGTCAAGTAAGGTGTCAGAACTCTCAAGGCCACATTCTGGAATGCGTGTGAAGAAGGCAGTTTGCCGTTTGCAGCTCGCTTGCCATCGGTTCTTACGGGTTGAAGCAGGTGAAGGATTGAAGGATGAAGATGATCCAGACATTCAGTTGCCGCTTGGGGTTGCACCGCAATCCGACAGGATGCAAGCCATGGCCGTGATAACACCCAATCTATTTGGTGAATGGCTTCATTTGGGTGGTCGAAGCGGTTGTCGAATGGGAAGACCGTGTTGGTGAACTGAGTGTAATATGCTCCGGGCTGGGCATAATAGTCCCCCGGACGAAGCACAGGAAAAGGGGTTACTGACCTGTATTTCATGGAATCGTATGTGAGAAGTGATGATTCAAGGCGCAGACAATGATGAAGGGTCCAATTGACGACGATGACAGGAGGTTGGAGATGGTTTCAGAAAGTGTTTCGATTCCTTATCATGATGGGTGAAGGGGAAGTGTAACGACATTGGCCAAGCGAGGAATGGGGGTGGGAGAAGGTGGCCGGAATGGGACAAATTCGTGATAAGGAACGCGTACGATACGGTATCGTCGCAAACAGCATCGGGAAAGGAACGAATTGGAGTGCTCCTCTGTCTCTCTCTTGCCTGGGAAAGGGAAATGAGAACCTCTTCTCATCGCTCATCAACCGATGGCCTCTTCCACAAGCTTGACTGCTCTTGCCTCTTTGTTAGCCCGTTGCTTGATCGCCTTTTGGCGTGCTTGACTTGTCTTGTCCCGGCTCGGTTCGTCTTGGAGGAAAAGCTTGAATGAGAGAAGGACCGATCGAATGAAGTCGAGATAAAGGTCGGATGACAGGAAGGCGCCCGGCTTGGCTGAAGTGAAGAGTGGAGTGGAGGACTCAAGGCCTGTTACATCAGTACAGGTAGCGCCCGCTTTTAGGGGCCTCAGTGGATATAGTGGGCCTATTGGGCCCCTGTTTAGTGGTCTTAGCGCACCTTCCGGTCTGGGGTTCTTGGCATCAAAGTGGCTTTCCGTACCTTCCCCGGATGGGAACCATTCATCTACCACTCAAACCAATCACGCGACGTCAAATGATAAGAACGTCGGGACGTGGGAGGCAGTGTTGTTCGACGGCAGGAGCAATTCCAATCCGCGACGATGACCTCCTTCCTGCCAGAATAACCGAGTGACAGAGCAGTGTCTGCCTGTTTGTGCCAACTGGCGACCGTCCCGTCTGAGATGGACGGGATGTGTTCCAGAAACAATCACCGAAGCGGACAATCAGTGCGACACCAACATCGACCGGCAAGCAACACACACAAAGGAACATGGCACTCGGTTGGGCTGACAGCAGAGGCCAGACCTCATGCCCTCTCGCTCGGCTCGCGCAAGTGTACCAGGAGAGTGGTACATATGCGTCCGATGCACTTTGACACTGGCAGAAGATGCCGGATCAGCATTCCGAATCGGTTATGGTCCTCCGATATCCAGTCCAGTGGACAATGCACTATTCATCCCCTTCTTTCTCACTTGTCACTAACACCTCGAACTCCTCCAGTGATGCAATCACGATATCATATCAGAACTCTCTGAAGACAGTGGCGTGAAGGTGGCCAAGGACACTCCCGGTTCCCGTCCAGTGACGGACAAGGCAGCCCGCCGACATTCCCAAACCACGGCATACCCGTTCCATCACCACCAACAAAGAAGCTCGAGGGGGGGTGCAGACCACTTATGCCAAGAACGGAGCTGTTATCATCAAGTCAACCCCCCACACAGCCTCGTACGCCATTACCGCAGCTGGACCAGTGTGGTGTCCTTGCTCCTTGGACTGTCTTACGGCGATATCTCTCTCACCAGATTACGTCCATTGGCCAGTCCCTCATATGGGAGGGCATTTGGCCATGCAGACTGGTGGCGTGCTACCCGGCAATGGGTGGGTTGCAATATGAGACACCGACAACAACCCCGGTCAAGTGTAACAAAGAAGAAGCAAAGCCATGTTCATCCTCCAGTTACCAGTACGTACCCTCCATTCAGTCTGATCCGTACCCTCGCCGTCCTCCAGCCTGCTGCATGTATATGTACTATGGCTGTCGAAGAGAGACCGAGACGCACGCGGACATGAACCTGCCTGGGTCTGGGCTGAACGGGACATGAACGAGGCCCTTGCCGTCAACCTTAACCTTACACGGGCACATGTCTATCCCCGCCCATCTTGTTACCCATCGTTTATAACCCCCAGATCTCCCCCGTTCCTGTCGCGTTGCGCCTGCAGTCAGTCTTCTGTCGCACTGCTGATGCTACTCTGATCACCCTCTCCCGCTCAGCTTCGACTCGACACTCCCCAGAATCGACGTCGGAACGATGGCGGAAAAACACCTACACTCTTCCGACCCGGAATTGGCCGGCGTCCCTCCACGATACAGCTCATCCGAAAAGAAGAACGATGCCTATATGGAGGGCGCCGCTGTCCTTGGTGGTGAAGATGACGCGGCCAGGTATGGCTACGTGAGCCGTGGGTGAGTACCACTCCAATCTTGTCTTAGCAATCGCGTCGCTGACAACAACCATAGGCTCAAGTCGCGTCACATTCAGTTCATTGCTCTCGGTGGAACCATTGGTACCGGTCTCTTCCTCGGTATCGGAAAGGCCTTCACCCAAGCCGGCCCTCTCTCCGTTCTCCTCGGTTATACCTTTACCGGTGTCGCTATCTTCGCTATGATGCAGTGTCTTGGTGAGATGGCCACATGGCTTCCTCTTCCCGGTGCTATCCCTCAGTTCTGCGCTCGATACGTCGACGATGCTCTCGGTTTCGCTGTCGGTTGGAACAACTGGTACGCCGCCGCCATCACCCTATGCGCCGAAATCTCTGCCGCCGCTCTCGTCATTGGTTTCTGGGAAGGCGCTCAAAGCGTCAACGTCGCCGTCTGGATCAGCATTATCTGGGTTGTCATCATTTTCCTCAACATCTTTGCCGTCTCCCTCTACGGTGAAGCCGAGTTCTGGTTTGCGTCTTTGAAGATTATCACCATCGTCGGCTTGCTCATCATGGCGTTCATTGTCGATCTCGGCGGAAACCCGCATCACGAACGTCTCGGTTTCCGCTACTGGAAGCACCCAGGTGCTATGAAAGAATATCCGTCTCAGGTGCACGGCGATCTTGGACGCTTTTTGGGTCTCTTCTCCACCCTCGTCAACGCTGCCTTCTCCTATGGTGGTGTCGAAATGGTCGCCGTTGCCGCCGGTGAGGCCGAAAATCCACGCAAGAACATCCCCAAGGCCGTCCGTCGCGTCTTCTGGCGTATCCTCTTCTTCTACGTCTTGGGTTCTCTCGCCATTGGAGTCCTCGTGTCTTCCGAAGACCCGGGCCTTCTCAGCGCTCAGGCCTCAGGCCGCTCCGACGCTGCTGCCTCCCCCTGGGTTATCGGCATCAAGAACGCTGGCATCTCCGTCCTGCCCTCCATTATCAACGCTGTTATCTTGACTTCGGCCACCTCCTCCGGCAATGCTTTCCTTTACTCCGGCTCTCGCTACCTCTATGCTTTGGCGCAGAACCGTCAGGCCCCGCGCATCTTCCTCACTTGCAGCAAGAAGGGTGTGCCCTACTACGCTGTTGCCGCCACGGCTATTATCGGCGCCCTCACTTACCTCTCTGTCGATTCCAACGGCGGTGCCGCAAAGGCGTTCGGTTGGTTCCAGAACTTGACTACCATCGCTAGTCTCTTCACCTGGTGCTCGGTTTGCATCGCTTACCTCCGCTTCTACAAGGCGCTGAAGGCCCAGGGCATCAACCGCGATACCTTGGTCTTCAAGAGCAGGTTCCAACCTTACACGGCTTGGTTCGCGCTTATCTACTTTGTTATCATCATCATCTTCAACGGGTTTGCTGTCTTCATCAAGGGCAACTGGGATGTTTCTGGTAAGGCTCCTCCCACTTCGTCCCTGTTTCCGTTTCGCCTCCGGCGGCCACTTTTTCAAGGCCTTCCGGGTGTGTCCTCGCTTTACTCAATAGAAGTGCTAACAACAAGTTTAAACAGGCTTCATCGCTGCCTACATTGGCATCCCCCTCTTCTTCCTCCTCTACGGTGGCTGGAAGATTATCAAGCGACCGAAAGTCATAAAGCCGGTGGAGGCCGATCTCACGACTGGAAAGGCAGCGCTTGATGCGGAGGATGAGCATTGGCAGAGAGAGTATAAGCCTCCTGTTACCATAATTGAGAAGATTTGGGATTGGTTGGTGTAAGCTGTAGGATTATAAGGTTGGATGATATGAGCGAGCGAGTTGGTTGGAAAGAGCGAGGATCTTGTAGTACTTATACCCATTATGAAACTTGTTAATACAGCACAGACGAGTATTGCCTATGCCGTTCTGTCACTTCAGAGACGTCAGTGAAAGTCTTCCAACCTTTGGGGTTGAGTCTGAGGGTTACCTATCATTCACACCATCTTCTTTTGATGAGGAATAGACGAAAAATAAAAGGAAAAGGCGGGCCAGCCAGTCGGACATTTATTGAAGTCAAAGGACTGAAATGGCAAGAGGGAGGTGCGCCACTGCTGACGAATGTGGTAGTCCGGTTGTTGAGTTGTTTTAAAGGCGGGATCTGGGTATCATGTTCACTCCCTCTATTCGGGACAGCACCAAGCTTCCAGCCAGCAAAGGGAGTCAAATTACGTATGCTCTCCGAAAGGCCACGAGGACTAGCTGTAAGTCTGAAAGCTTGAGAAGGTTGAGGGCTTGGTGTCACAAAGCTAACTGATCATTGAATGCTGTAGGAACGAAGATGGATTTAAGGAGGGGAAACGCTCACATGGCCTGGGTGCCCAAGATTCGGATGAGTAGCACAACCCAATTTGAAAGTCGACTGGAGTAAGAAAGGTCCTCGATTGGAATAAGATAGACAAGAAAGGTAACACAGCCAAGTTGTCACGACTACATTGCAGGTTTTTAGCTCGTCACAAGATGGCGACGGGCATTGGCATCGGCACTTCATAGTGGCATTGTCAGATTTCTTACAAGACAAAATGCAAGATCCTGCCGTCAGTTTCTAAGTCTCAAGACTCCTTTCCTTGGCCTTATTATTGAACCTTCCTGTCTCGGTCATCAACCAACGTCGAGTGCGTCTGTCAATGACGGCAGCGATGACTTGTCAACCAGACTGCTATATACAATACTATATCATGGAGACACAGCATCTACTCGTGATGCGTGATGACCACCGTAAACTTTGGTCCTGCACCTTATTTCTGACAGTTCTACTTGCTCTTGGGCTGGCTACATGGTGTGATTCGTTCTATATCTGGTGAAAACGTGGCCCAGACCGTTGGAATCTCGGAGAATTAAAGTCTGGGGAAACTCTGGGGAAGTGACAGGTCAATATCTGGGCAAGTCTTAGGATGATGAATCATGAAGCTTGGAGCCCAACGTCTGGGGACAGTCTGGGAGACATGGAATGACACCGCAGTAGTCCAGTGTTCCTAGTATGACTGAGGCTCTATTCGCACATTCCATCCAGTCACCTGTGTCTCTCTCGGTCCCAAGATCTTGGGACGCGTTGTGGAATGACACACAGGAGCTAAAATGCCTTCAAGTGCGTCATGGACTGTCTGCAAACGCGGTCAACTTCTCCGTCTCGGGAGTTCATCACCGGCACTACGCTCTTGCGCCGCCTACTTGCTTCGATTAGATCCAGACTCACGAGCTCCGATATCTCATATGACTTTTCCTTGACTAGTGGCAGAAGCACGCATAGGAGATTCTAAACACTTCTGAGCTGGACTTCAAGAACCGAGGACGAATCAACCAAGTTCCTGAACAGAAATCGTGGCGTCAGCCATCCGCTCACTACCACACCACCAGCATCACTACTCCGAACACCATCATCACGGGAACAGGAGGTTTTTGTGTCGCCGTCAGCTTTTGTTCCGAGCTTCTTCCGAGACTGGCTCCGAGCTGCCCCTCTCCTTTACTCCTTTCTAACCCCTCTCCCTCACTCTTCTGCTCGGTTCTTCCCGGCCAGTTCTTCCAAACTTTGAACCCATCGGACTTAAAACTGGGGAGGGGAAGGCTCAGTTAGGAAATATGTTCTGATGAGTGGTGTGACTTCGACTGAGGAGCGGAAACAGAGGGTATTGGTGGCCGCTTATGGTCACTGGACTTTCTGATAAGGTAGCACTCGCTTCCAAGTTCTCTCGATCGTCGCCTGTTCCTGATCAAGCCTTGGGAAGGAAGGAGAAGAAGGTGGGAGTATAAGATGAGTGCTAAACCTCGCTCGTTGTAAATTCTGGACCCCGACGTAAGAGGCGGCTCGCTCGAACGCCTTCCAGACCTTTCAAACCTTTTAGACCCCGCTGGGTCGCCAGAACCTTCACTCGCCGAGTGGTCACAGGTTACGACTGCAAACCGAGATAAATCCCATAGTAAACCCATTCACCACGCCAACCGGCGACAGATTAAACTTTGGAACCTTGAGTTCTTCGCCGACACCTATAAGGTTGTCGCGTCCTTCTCTGACCTTGCACCACAAATCTTCCGCCTCCCTACACACTACCATCTAACCACTCCAACAAATCAAGATGAAGCTCCCATCCACCATCCTTCCCGTTATCCAACCCTTTCTCTCCCTCCTTCTCTCCCTCCCATTCCCTCTCCTCCTTCTAACACTCGCCTCCCTTCCCCTGGCTTCCGCACAGCTCGACAAGTACGCCAAACTCGCCGGCCTCTCCTACTTCGGCACAGCCGTCGACAACCCTCGTCTCTCCAACGAGCAGTACATGTCTGTGCTTCAGGGGTCTGGCGAGTTTGGTTCGCTGACCCCCATCAATGCGCAGAAATGGAAGAATATTGAGGAGGTCCAAGGGGTATTCACTTGGACGGAAGCCGATGCTGTAGCAAATACGGCAAAAGCTGGAGTGGGAGGGACAAAGACACTGAGGTGTCATACCATGGTTTGGTATAAGGGGTTGCCTTCTTGGGGTAGGTTTCTTCCAATGACTCTGACTGAGAATTGTGGTGAGGTCTGGTGAGAGAGGAAGAAGGATGGGAAATGATTGAATGATCAAGGGCTGACAGAAAGCACCTCACAGTTGAGACGACGTATTCTCGCGCCGACATGGAAAAGATCCTCACCGCACACATCCAGAATCTGGCGTGGCACTTCAAGGGGCGGTGCTATGCTTGGGATGTGGTGAATGAAGCCATCGACGACAACGGAGTGTTCAGGCAAAGTCCAAGTATGTCTTCCTCCTTTTCCCTCACCACTTCACCTTTTCCCTAAAGCTAACACCCCCCGAGTGTACAAAGCAATGGGCCTGGACTTCATCACTTTCTCCTTCAACACCGCGGCCAAAGCCGACCCCAGCGCCAAGCTCTACTACAACGATTACGCGCTCGAATCCCCCTCCCTCTCTCCCGGCCCCAAAATCTCCATAACCCTCGCCATGCTCCGCACCGTCAAGGCCCAAGGCGGCACCATCCACGGCGTCGGCTTCCAATCCCACCTCAAAGTCGGCCTCGTCCCTTCCCGCGCCGAGATCGTCAGCACCATGCAGCAGTTCCTGGAGGCGGTGGATGAGGTGGCGATCACGGAGCTGGATATCCGACACAGCCCGCTGAAATTGCCGAGCACGAGGGCGATGTGGGACGCGCAGGCGCGAGACTATGGAGAGGTGGTGGGCGCTTGTTTGGAGGTTAATAAGGGGTATGGAGGCGGGAGGAAATGCGTGGGGGTGACGGTGTGGGATTTCACGGACAAGTATTCGTGGGTGCCGAGCGAGATTCCGACGGAGGGGGAGGCGTGCATGTGGGATAATAATTATGTGAAGAAGCCGGCATATTGGACGGTGTTGAATTTGTTCAAGGCGTATGCGGCGGGCGGGTCGAGGAGGCGGGCGGGGATGGATGGAGTGGATGGTGGGAATGGGACGCTATCGGAATGGGCCTCGGAGGCGGCAGCACACCGCGGGCCTGAGGCTCTTCCTGGGATTGGAAGGGAAGAAGGGACGAAGACGGTTGTAGCGACTACGCTTGCGACGGTGAGGAGAGTTAGGCCGACTGCTAGGCCAAAGGAGTGATGACGGCTGATGGATGACTCGACGAGGTGTGCCACGAAGGCCTGATGCCAATTTGGCTTTGTATATGATATTTGAAGTGTATCTGCTTCCATTCTTCCACATGTACGGTGGACAATAACTCGTTGAATACATGATACCTGGTTTTCCTTCGAACTGCAGCATGGTATAAAGATGAAACTCCTGAGCGCTATGCTGATGATCAATTTTGGGTACATGCCATCTCATGAGACGGCCACTTATTCACTCCCTCCTCTCTCCTCCTTCGCCCCATCATCCTTCGGCGCCTCCCCGCCAGCCGCAGCACCACCACCCAGCTGACTCTGCAACCCCTTCTTATCAACAACCATAGCCCTCTGCAACTCCCTTTCCTCCTCCCTTAACCTCGCCCTCTCGACCGCTAGCCTCTTTTCTTGTCTTCTCTTCTCCTCTTCCACCCTCTTCTCCCTCTCCTCCAACGCTTTCTCTCTCTTCTTCCTCTCCTCTCTAGCTTTCCTTAGCACCTCATCCTCCTCTTCTCCCGCAGCACTTTCGACCTCTGGCGGAGGGGCAAGACCCTGGATGTACCCCTCGATGAATTCGTCGCGCGTTTTAGCGTCGAGGGAGATGTATCTGATGTCTGCTAGGATCTGACTCGGGAGGCTGGCTACAGAGGAGCGGTTGTTGAGCTGCCGGAGCGGTACGCTCTCCAGCAACTTCTTCAAATCGCTCTTGAGTTGTGACTGCGGCAGTTTCAGCCTGTTGATATGTTCTCTGTACAACTTTTCTCTTTCCTTGTCGTTGAAGCTCCTATGATGCGCCGAATCCTTCATTACCTCCTCCTTCCGGTATTTTCTCTTGAACTCAGCCCAGTACAACTTCGGCGTCGCGTGTTCCTGTAGGAAAGCCAGGTACGGTATCCTAGGGTCCTTCTTCTCCTCCTTGGCCCTCGCTTCCTTTAAGGCTTGGATGGCCTCGCGCGACCACTCATCGTAGACTTCCCTGCGCTCGCGCATCGATGTGAGCACGGTGTACCGCGGGTCAGAGAAGACACCCGTCTTGTCGCCTTCGTCGATCAGCTTCTGGAAGGGAGAGTAGGGGTTTATGCGGAAGTCGGCAAGGAGGTCGCGGAAGAGAAGGCGGGCGTCGGTATCGGAGAGGGGTTCGACGTTTTCTTCTTGTGCGGCAAAATCGTATTCTTGGTCGATGTCCATGCCGTCGCCTTCCATCATGGCGAGCTGAGCGGCGAAGTCGTCTTCTGTGAATTCGATCGGCCCCTGGTTTTCGTCTTCGGTGCGCTGGCGCTTGGAGGGGTGCTCGGCGTCGTCGTGGTCTGCGCCTTCGTCGTCGGTTACTTCTACCTCTTCGTATTCCGAGCTGTCGTAGTCGTGTGTCTCCTCTTGACCCTGCTCCGCATCCTTCCCCTCCACCTTTTCCTCCTCCTTCTCATGGCTCTTGTACTTCGGGTCCTCTTCAAGCGGTGGCTCCCCCGCCGCCTTCCTCCTTATCCGCTCTTTATCCAACTCCACCACTGCTGGCAAGATCTTCTCCGGAATGCGCCAGTAACTCGCGTTCTTCACCGGGTTATAAGCAAATCTCCTCCCGTATTTCGTGTAAACGAGGAACCACGGCTCGCAGCCCGGGATGGCGATCTTGGCTTTCGGCTTGTCCACGGGCTGTGGTCGCGGCCTCTGCTGCTGCTGGTTGCCGCCTCTGCCTCCTGCTCCAAAACCCCCTCGCCCTCCTTGGTGTTGAGGTTGGAACTGTTGGGCATACTGCGCCATAAACGCATTGGCAACGCGTGGATCGGAGAGGTTTATCGCGGGAACGGATTGGTGTTGGAGGTAGCTCATCGAGGGGTTCACTGGCGCGGTGGCGAGAGGATGGGCGCCGGGGACTGGCGAAACGGACGGAGGACCGAACGGAGAAGCGGCGGCGGGAGGAGTAGGGGTCGGGGTAACGCCGGGGCGCTTGTAGGTTGACTCTTTGGTCGAGGCATTGTAGTAGTAGGTGTGCCCGGTGGGCGCTTTGTGTTCGGTCCAGCCTGGTGGAAGAGGAGGGAGAACACCGGGGGAGGGTTTGTATGTTGATTTTAGCATTGTGGTCGTAGCAAATGGTGCTGTGGGAGTTTATTGGGTGGCAGAAGAATAGTTGAGACAGGGAAGATGGAAAGATGGAAAGATGGAATTCGCAAGGCTAAACCGAATCACAAAGCTAAAGTTGTCAGAGTAGAGGGTGGATTTCTGGGATTCTAGCTAAACTCTATGTGGGTTAGCTGCCCAGGCCCCTAATATTACCTAATTTCTGGGCATATCTACGTTACCCCAACACCCCCCATACCTTCTAAGTGAATCAAATACACACACTCTTTAATTAATTAATTCTGAACTATCACATCTAACAATTAACAATCTGATTTGCGTATTTACAATCAACGCTATAATTATTGATTATAAGGAATATCCTTATGAAACTAATAATGTTAATTATATTTTTATTAAAAGAATCTACCAATAAGGCTATTATAGGTATCTTCAATACCCCTTCCGATTAGCCTAATTAGTATAAAGCTTTTAAGAAATTCGCTAATAATAATTAGGACTTTAAAAATTTGCTACTTAAAGGAAGATTTATAATTTAAAGAGTTCTACCCCTAAAGCTGGAAGACTTCTTCCTTACTAAGTAAATAAAAGATTGCTTTCTAATAATAAAGAAGGAGTTCGTTAAATTTAATAGAGGAATACGAGTTAACAAGGTTATAATTATAATTATAATAATTATTACTATTACTATGGTTACTAATACGAACGGTATTGTTATTAAAGTTATTACGGCTATTTAACTTTAAGAAGAAGCTGCCGCCGGCGTTAATAAAGACGATAAAGAAGGAAGTTTGGGAGAAGAAGACGAGGAAGAGGAAAATAATAAATATTATACCGAATAGGATATTAGGGAAGATATAATTATTAACCCTTCTACCGACCTAATAATTATTAGGAAAGTAATATATAATTAAATTAATAATATAGAGAATATTCGCTATAAATATTAGAAAGATTTCGATAATATTAATACCCGAATTTATAATTAGATAAGTATTTACGTTGCGTCCTACTATACTAATACTTCTTTTAAGTAGGATAAATCTACTTACAACTAATTTAAAGAAATTAAGAATTAAATTAATTATTACTTTATTAATTAAATTGCTAAGGTTCGTCGAAATTATTAAACCTTTATTAAAGAGACTTTAAAAAAATAACCTAAGGATTTTAAAAAGTAATTATCTAATTAGGAGATCCTTATTATTAACAATAAGCGATTTAGAATTAATAAAGTAATTTCCCCTACTTTATAGTTTATTAACTTTATTAATATAATTTGTAAATATAAGTCTATTTAGGTTAATAATTCCTAGAAATTCAATAACGAATTCGAAGAGATATTTTTAAAATATAAGGATATATTTATTAATTTTAAAACGGTTAATATACCAAAATGTACTATACTATTAATTAATTTTAAAAAGGTTATAGTTCGTACCGTTTAGAGTATTAGCTGCTTTATTCGCAAAAATTCGTATTTAATAAAAAGGATATTCCTAATTCTATTTATAAAAAGAAGCGGAAAGTAAATATAAAGAAAAAACGCAACGCGGATAAAAGCACAAAAAATTCTTTATAATTAAAAAAAAGAGGAGGTACTACACCGCTTTATAGAATTTGGGAACGAAGCCTTTACTTAATAACGTGCTATTAGTATTTAATATTTAAAATTAAGGATAATCTTAAATAGAAGTTGAACGGCTTTATTTAAAAGTTTATTAATAAGAATTTTGAAAAATATCCTAAAATTAAAAAAGAAGTTAAGAAAGTTAAAAATTAAATACGGGACCGCTTTATTACTTTTATATAGATTATCACGTTACGATAATAAAGGAGATAAAAATTAATATTTATAATTTAGTATTTTTCGTTAAATAAAGTACCTTTAATACGAGTAATAATAAAGGGGATATTGATCTACTTACGAATTTTATAATCTTTAATTTTAGGGCTTTTATTTATATTTTTAACGAAATTAATTATTTTTTATTATTTCGAGTAACGTCCTTAAAGGATTACATTTAGGTTAAAGATTTTTAAATACTTATTAAGGGTTGTAAGATTATAGATATAGAAATATAAGGAGAGAAAGGAATTCTAAGATTGCAGTTAAAAGAAGTAATTTTTTATTTTAACTTTATTATAAATTTTATATTATTACGCTTATTTTGAAAGTAAAGACTTTATTAGGACTATAAACCCTTTAATAATTACCTCCGTTAATTAAACCGCTTATTTGTTTATTTCTTTTAAAAAATGTATTATTAAACAATCTTTGAATATTTGCTCCTTTCCTTTAATTGCGCCACTTTCTTTACTTATTAAAATCGCTTTAATTCTTTTATTAGCTATCGCGCATATAAAATACCTACGAAATTCTAATATAAGCAATTTAATTATTATAGTCCTTAAGTCTTCAAATATTTATATAATATTAAAGGTATTAGATTTAGAAGCCCCGCTATCTATTAATACAATGGGTATAGTATTTTAAAAATTAAATAATAAGTTAAATAGAAATTACACGACCGAAGGTTTAGCCCAGGGGAACGTTTCACTATTAATTTCTTCGATTATAAAGAAGGGAGAAGAGGTTTTAAATACGTTGTATCTATTATTTATTAGTAGATTAAATTTATTTAGGACGTTTATATAATAAATAAATAAACTAAATTTATTATTAAAAGGCTCTTTTCGGTTATCAATACAATTAACTACTAATATAACAATAAAATTAAATATATTAAATATAATAACGAATTTAATAATTAATACGTTAAAAATAAATTAATTATAGGTTTTATTATTTTCAAACCTTTAATACTTAATATTTAAATTTAAAACGGCGGTACTAAGTATTTAAGGGGTATAATTAAAGAAAAGGTACGTATAATAACTATTACGGAGCGAGAGGGCACTGTTGAGAGTAGGGTAAGATATGCGTTGTTGTACGAAGGAGAGAAAGGGAAGTGTGCGTAGAGGACTGGCTATATGGGCGAGAGCCTAGTAGGCTAGTTCGTACGCGCGTACGTGAGGCTGCGCGTAATTAGAATATATAACTAGTGCGTAAGTATATAGCTATAGACTATAGCACTAGCTCTAATATAGTATATATATAGTCAATACAATACAACCACATTATAGGCTAGCCCTATAATACTATCCTCCCTCAAAAGAAGCTCGTAGAACTAAAAAAATCTATATATACGTATAATAATAGATTTATCCCCTCAAATCCAATATTCTATTATAATCTACAAATTACGTTAGGGGTAACTTTCTTAACTATATATCTATTAACCGTTATATAATCTTTCCAAATACTAGATACAATTTATCTTCTATATCCTTACTAACCATTATATTCGTTTTAATTATTATAATTATATTTGGAAGTGGCCTCGTTATATTGATAACCGAAGCAATCTCCTATTGGAAGCGAACGGAACGGCGCTACGGAGGTTCCGGGGTTATAGAATTATTGGCGGGAATTAAAAAATCGGCGGTAGGACTTAGAGAGTCGGTAGCGAGGTAATATAGGAGGTTTTAGACTTCTAACGGTATAAGCAATATTTATAATTAATAATATTATTAACGGGCTCCTAAGTAGGGTCATTAATCTTCTATTGAACGTAATAATACTAATATAAATTACCGCCCAATTAAACGTAGTCAATAAATTTCTCGAAAGCCTATTCTTCGTATTCCTCTTAATTATCCATTCGAATTATAACCCGACTATTATTTACCCTAACGTTTAAAGACATATTTTATCGGGTAACTCTTTACTAAATTATAATTATATTATAAAGATATAGAAGATTAGCGAATATTTTATATCAATCAGTAGAGTAAAATAAATAATATAAAACTTTATTCGAATAATTTTAAATAGCCCTTCTTAATAGGTAAGAATTTCGTATAGGGGCAGCTGTTAACGAGGTTAATTATATTTGAAAGGACTATATCGCTAATATAGTATTTAAACGAATTGATACGTTTTTTATTAATATTATCCTTACATTATTCTTATATATACTAAAATTATTAAATTATAAAGTCTTAAATCTTTTAAAAGTAATTTATAAATTTATTAGCTTTATAGTACTTTTGAAGTTGAACTAGTAATAAATCCGGCGGTAATAGGGTACGAAGTTCGGTATTTATACGAGGGTAATAATTATAATTCGCGAAGGGGGAAATATTTGTAATTGAAAATACGGCGTTATTATTTATGAATTTGGCGAGGGGTAATTACTTTACTTAATCCGTTTACGCTTAATTAATATATAAGTGAAGAAATTATTCTATTTCTACGTTAATACATTCGGTTTAAGTATTAGTTTATAAGTAGAAGGCGGAAATTAACTTACGGATAATAAATAGCCTTCTATAGAAGGAAAATTAGAAACGTAATACGAATTAAGCACCCCGGTTGGATAAAATATTATTTAAAAGATTATAAATCGAATAAATATAATCGATAAAGTAGTCGGCTAACTTTTCGGTTTCTAAATTTATTATTAGGATATAATAGTATATTTTAGTAAGGTAGTCGACGACGACGGCGATATATTTAAATATTTAGCCGAAGTAGGTACTTTCTAATAACGGAGTAATATAATGGATTAAAAGCGTAATCTATAGGATAAATAGGACGGCTACCAATTTTAAATAATTAATTAAACTCTACTTTAAGGATTTTATTTTTATACATAGGAAATAATTTTTATAAAAAAATTATATATTATTATATATTCCCTCCTAGGAAAAGTTGCGTTATAAAAGCTTATATATAGCATTATAACTAAAATAGCCCGCGCCGGGGGAATTATATTAATAGTTAATCAATTAAAATTATAAATTCTTATTATAAGGGTTAATAATAATTTTATTTCGCTATTTAACAATACTATTAATAATATAATATTCCGCGAAGGCCCTATAGAAAACCTTTTTAATATTGGGTGGTTATTACTTTCTAAATTCGTTTA